CATGCCGGCGACAAGTTACCTTTCAGTCCAGTTTTTTTTTCTTCACATTTACATTACAATTACTGCTAATAGTGTCCCCTATACTTTTCTTGGCATCATTATCTGTTAGTTCTCGTTAATATTTGGTCCTGAACAGGTGGCCTAATATTTGTGTTTCTGGTTGAATGAAGACGTTCCCTGACTCTAGGATTGTCTTTTTTATTTTACTAATTGACGAGTATGTCTCAACGTGTTTTTTTCTTTAGAGCCACTTTAATGTATGAGAGTGCTAAGTGAATATTGGAAGTGATACAGCGTGATCAGGTGATCGTTGTCTTATCCAGATTCCCTTGCCGGAGAGTCCCGGGAAAATGCGGTAAACTTTATTTCGCTCGTGCTGTCTCGCTTCTTGTCTCCGATTTTTCTGTTCCTCTCGAAGGAACTATTAGATTGTTAAGTGGATTGTTTGGAAAAAAAAGTTGTCTGTCACATCAGACGCTTAGAAGGAAAAGAATTAATCGATTGGTTTGTCAGGCACTTGAAGAAGTTTGGATTTCAGAATTCTCTCATTTGAAAAAATGTGGATAGAAATGGGGGAAATAGTTCTTCTTTTGCAACCACCAAAGTTATTTCAGTCACAGAATCGCTGAACATGAATAGGTTATACCTATTGACCTTGTCAAAGATATTCGTATTGACTTCAGCTCAAGTATTTTACTGAAATGGTGAAAATTATACAATGAAAATGATACACGGTGTCATGCCATCATGGTGGTGGCCATAATAGAATAGAGGGCGTCACGTAGCATATTGGGATATATTGAGCCGTTAAAAACGCAAATAAAAGAGTTCAACAGATAAAGACAAAAAAGGAGGCAGGGCAAGTGCTACACAAATCCATGTCAGACCTAGCGAAATTTCGTCTGCAGGTGTGAAGAGTTGCCATCAGCCATCTATGACAGGCACTGATGTATTTCTAATTGTGGTGATGTGTATGCCATTGAAAAATCAAGGAATGTGAACTCATGCAACCTTGGAGTGTGAGCTTCTATAATCAAGCTTGATTTAATAGCGTAACTGCGGTGAGTCTTTCAACTAGCTGCCGAACACATTTGCTGGTGGACCAGGGCAGGTTTTTAGAACAAGGGAAAATCAAACAACATTGATTACGTCGTAGATGACTGTGGAAGTCTCAAACTAGTGCACATGTTCTTTAGTTTGCGGTTTCTTTCTAGTAAACAAAAAAGAAGTTAGGTGCCATTGTCCCGTTCGTTCTGTTGCCTTCTTCATCATCGTTCTTTTGCTGCTGTTTTTTTTTGTTTCGTCTACATTTAGGGGAGACACTGCTCTTAAAGGGGCCTTGCAACACTTTTTGAGCTTGGTTAGAAAACGCTGTTCATCGGTAGTAGAGACTCCCGACAACACGCAAACCAAATATTATACCGCAGCACGTGGCCTGGAATTCATAATAAATTAGCAAAGTGAGCTAAAAATTATTTTCACTTCTCTCGACAAATCATGGAATATACCCGAAATTCACACGTAGCAAGCCCATCTATCAGGCATTGGCTGGTTTGAACACGGCGTGCTCGCTCGTTACAGAGATCACCGCGGGAGGCCACTACTTGTCCACATGCGCACGCGTGATCACACGGAAAAAGCCGCGCATTCGAAGAAAAAAGTGCTCAAGGTCACGAGGCGGGCGTGACGTTTTTCTGCGGCCCTGCCATGCCTCCCTGCTTAGCTTCCAGCGCTTTCGTAGGGGCGAGAGAAGAAAGAATGCAATTGCAGCATGCGACAAACCTTGTAACTCTGCTCGTACTGGACGGATTCATAAAATTTTTGCGGCATTGAATTCATGAGGCTCTTCCAGTGAATTAATTCCATGGTTACTTGGAAAAGTGCTTCAGGGCCCCTTTAAAAATGTTTTTGTTTCTTGATTGATTTTGATGAAACTTGGTGTGCCTATGTATATATGCATGCTTATTTTAAACATACAATGATTTTTCTTGTATTAGGTGTAGTTTTTAAAATACAAAACAATCAAAGTGCCTTTTGGGGAGCAAGATTTTTTTTTGAAACTAAGAAAGCTACAAAGTAATCTGACATATCACAATAATCTGAAATCAGGACTGTGTGCAATGCCACAAAAATGGATGCTCTAAACTGATTCGAACAAAAGTTACGGTACGTTGAACATTTGTGTCCGAGTCAGTTTCAAGCTAGAATTTCACTGGCAAGTGTTCAACATTCCATAACATTTCTTCTAGTTGGTTTAGAACATTCATTTTTATTGCATTGCGATCTGCTTTGATTGCAAATTATTTTGATATGCTTATTTACTTTGTAACTTTCTTAGTTTAGGCAAAAGAGTGCTCCCCAAATGGCACGTGAAATATTTAGCAGTTCAAAAACTACTCTTAAAATAAGAAAAATAATTCCACATTTGAAATCAGCACACATATATACATACACTTGCCAAGTTTCATCAAAATTGATCCAGAAATAAAAAAGGTTTTTTTTAAGTGCCATGGTGCATGCACTCACAATAATTTGACACATGCCGTTCCATTAAAATCAAGCGTTTGGGTCATAGCAGTGGGATGTGCCGTGTATATTATCAAGAACTGTTATTTTGCGTACCTGTTGGCCATCAAGACACATCTGCGTGAAAATTCAAGGGTGCAATTGAACACCACCACAAAAAAAAAATACTGAGGACAACAGAAGAAAATGGCCACAATACATGGTGCTGATGTGTCATGGGTCTTGTGTACTGTTTGTTTTAGTGTTACATATTGCGATGTAACCAAGTACGTAGTAGCAGTACAAGTGCTATCAGGTCGTACACGTTTTAGTGCAAAGAAAGCATTTGTGTTGTTATATGCTCAAGTACAATGAAAATGAAAAGCAAACTTGAAGCAAGGAATCAAAGTGACAACATAAATGCTGTCATTTTTGTGGCTACTTTCACTTTACTCATGTTTGTTATCATGTCCACGTCTTTTGTGAGTGTTCGCGCACGCCATTCCATAATGTGAACGCATATAAACTTCTCCAGTTTGAAGTTTGTACAGTAATAAGCAGTTTACCGAGGTATCTGTGAAAGCTAACATTCAGGTACATTTTGCCAGTGCATTATTACAATTTTACCGACAATTTCACAGACATAGTAAACATACGTTGCAGTCTAGTTCTGAAGGCACAGGAAAGCTAATGTGTATATGCTGTAATTTGGGTAACTGTAATTTCATGCTGGTTTATTTTACTTCACTTTATAGGAATGTTAGTGGAAAGTTAGTTCACAAAATTTCACTATACTGGCATATCCATGCAAATTCCACGATTCGTAGTCGTCTGTTAAAAACGATCATAAGAATTTTGAAAGTGATAGTTTTCTGGAACCTTTTGGCCATTTACCCTTCTTCTCTCCTTAAGATTATATATGATATTTGATCTGGGGCAGTGTATTGTAGTCTCCTTGATATGCCCTTGGCTGTTTACATACATAGGCACGTTTGTGTGATTCAGTATACTGCAGTGTATGGGGCAACTTATAGTATTGCATCTAAAAACTGCTGAAAATAGCTTGTCCTTAGCGTGTTCATCTGGCTTCACGATCGTGAGTAAGTTATTATGAGAACGATGTTCTCTGCACACATTAGAACAAGTTTATTCAATGTCTTGTTGAAATTTATTTTTTATTGCACATTAATACTATAGCTATGATTACCCCTGTTGTCGCCATTCGACCATTTCCAGAGCATTACATACAAAAGAAAGAGTTGTCGAGATTATTGGGAGTGATTATACATGGTGAGTTTTGCTTTATAAATGCGACGTAGGCATAGTCTTGCACATACTAAAAGATATCAGCAATTTATTTATGCCCCGAAAGTTGTCTCCTAAAAAGAATTAGCTGTGGTCAGTGTTAAACATTAAAAAAAAAAAAGCAGAGCTAGTGCCGGTATTAAATCAAAGCATGATAAAAATGATCAGTAGTTTGCTGGTTAGTTTTTTAACAGTGTCACCAGAGTGGAACCACATTTTCTGTAGTAACATTAAAGTAAATATTTCTGGTTGAATACAGTTTTTTTTCTTCTTTTCGTTACTACCTGAATGGTCTTACATGGTACCACTGCGATGTTGCATGTAGGAAATGCCAGGAAGTTGTGGCTTGGTTTAGCATCTGTCTTGGAGTGCCAGGACAAGTTCAAGACAGGTATAATGACCATAGTTTCATGTGAAACAGTCATTTTGTCTATTGCAGAACAGTGTGCAAGGTGTCTAAGATGTGGCCTTGGGAACAGTTCCATGGCATTAGAAATAGCACATTTAAGAAAACAATGCACATATATTCACTGGGCAAGACATGTAACCAAGGTGGACTATATGCATAGCAATCAACAAAATTATTAGTTTCATGATGGTCTCTCATTAACCTTTAGGTAATGACTCTTGAGGGCAAGTTATAATAAAATTAGGTAGTCCTTCAGCTTTATACAAGGCTGTTTTTGTCCTCTGCACAAATTTTTAAGCAGGAGTACTCAAATCACTGTTGTGAAATGCATTGCTGTTCCAGTTAATGTGCTTCTGCAATATGGAAAACTGCAGCATAGAGAAGCGTGAATATCATGAACGGGTATTTATCACTGCTACAAAGCTTTTCCCTAAAAGTTTCAATTTTTGTCTGTAATTTCTTATTTGCGACAACCTGACATAGTTGCAGAAACACGCAACATTTATTTAGGTGAGGTAACATGGTGACTGACTGTAGATACCATCTTTAATTAAATAATTTGCATGGCTAAAAGTCGGCCTAGCAAGTACAGTCCTGACCATTCTTCAAAAGAAGCCACATAAAATGCCAAATCAGAATGCCCAACATTTCATCAGTATCAAGTCCTGAAAGCAGTGGCTTTAAGACGGCACAGATCTTCTTTCTAGCTGTGAAACCCCGTGAACTTTGGCCCCTGAGAAGGACCCCAAATCTCAGAGGCTATGCGGCTGTTCATGCGCAGAATGCGAGCAAAGCGGCCGGCGAGCCCAGTCCCCAGGTGAACCTGATGGTGGGCCAGCAGGAGCGCTGGAGCTCCATCAAGCACAGCACCAATGACCCTGTCTGGGAGGAGATCTTCTACCTGCTCCTCAGTAACCCAGAAGTCCAGGAGATGGAGATAAAGGTAGTACTATAAGCGACTGTGCTGTCCTGTCATCTCTTGATTTTTATATACATCAATAGTCAGGATAAGCAAACATGAAACCAATGTTTTGTAAAGTGGACCCTTTGGTTACAAAGTGTTATTATGCACAAATTTTTTTCTTAAACTGTCTGACTTTTCTAATTTTATGTTGAGGGAATTGCAGGAACACCCCTTTACTGCTCTTAGAGGTGTATGGTACAGAACATCAGGTGGTCAAAGTTAGTGCACAATTTCAGAAGTGCAGAATTAAGCATTTGTGAGTATTGGGGTAGCGCGCATTAGGCAACTCTCGCAATTATGCGTCAGTCGGGCTTTGGTAACTCAGCACTATAACGAAATAGCGTGTCTAGCTGTGGAATGAAGGATGTGCCGGTGTTGTGTGAAGGCGGCATTATTTGCTGGGATCTCCATATTTTTTTCGTATGTACTGTGTGGACTCTCTCTATGTATTCATGTTGTTTTTAATTAAGAGCTAAGTTGAAATTCAACACTTGCTCTAGTCTTAACATTCCTGTGTGTCTCAGTGTTAGCAATGTTCTTGCTGGTAACGCACTGTTTCTGACTACAGCGTGCCTCGTAATCATATCTTGGTATTGGCATGTAAATCTCCAGAATTTAATCTAATTGAAAAATTGTACTTTTATTCATATGCGTAGTACAAAAAAAGCGCCAGACATAGATACAGGAACACATATACAGGACGGACGCTAGTTCCTTCTGTGTGTTCCTTCTGACGTGTGCTGTCTGTGTCTCCATTTGGTTGTTTCTTGCATGATGATTATGAATTCAACTGACGAAAATCATCAAGGCCGCATTGCCATTTTGACTGGTTTACTTTTCTTTCTCTTGCCCCATTTAATGCACTGACATAATTTTCTCACTCGTCGGATGTTGGGGGAATGTAAGGTATTGATCCAAATCTATGTACCAGTGGTACCAACTCTTCAATATTCATGACAGTGAGGTGAGCCTGGATTAGGATGTTCAGGGTGTTGTTTCTACCTGTCTAACCATTTTGAAAATTTTTCTTTCCTTTTTTTTGTCAGATATTGCAGTGTGAGTGATAGTTCTGGCACTGCAGCGGCACAGTTTACCAATACCGGTTATTGTGGTATTCTTTCTGTTAGTATTTCTAGCCAATTTTTAGAAGGCGCAGAACATTGCCGCATGATGATGCAACATCCTAGTGCAACAGTGCAATGTCGGCGTGGCCTGCTCAGGTGATGGACAACAAGAGTGGGCAGGTGTTGGGCCACTTGAGTTTCCGGCTGTCGCGCCTTCTGAAGGAAGAAGGACTGAAGGTGGACGAACCGCTCATCTTACTGGGCACTGGTCACCAGGCAAAGCTGCAGATCACGTTGCAGCTGCGTATTCTGAAGAGCAACAAGCGCAGGTGAGCCTTGCACCACCAGAGGTTTGTCACGGAAAATGAAAAGATGCCACCCACCTGGGGATATCGCAAAGTTAGAAAGAAAAACCCATACACGGGGAGAAGAAGCTATCGTGTAAAGATCCCATTGTGTTTTTGTTTCTTTGCAGACTATTTTTTTGGTGGGGGATAACGGCTTTCTTTTAAGAAAATTACGCTGAAATCCTACCTGGGTTTCTCAGATGACGTGCCGAGGTGCAAGCATGAGGAAACCGCACTCATTGTGAGAGTGCTCCCAAGAAATTGTGATGAAAAGTCATCTATTTTGTGGTTTACAAAACTGTTCATGTAACGATGGCAGCAAGGTCATGTAACAATGGCAGCCTGTCTGTGTTTTTTGGTGCAGTACAGTTATTTCATCATGTAGTTTAAACTTGTTGAAGTCCACGTTTTTAAGGTAAATCCAGAGAACTTATTGACTATGTTGAGCTGGTCGTCATAAGTACTTTACTTTCTTCACTCAGGTGCACCAAGCAAATTTAGTAATCTTGAATTATTGAAAAAAAATATCACACTAAAATGCGCATGCATGTGTTTGGTGAAGCACAGTGGAGCATTGTTAAAGCGTACTTGGTGTCTGGGCATTCTCCACATAACTACCATTTAGCAACAGTGCGTGCCAACAAAATGACTGCCAATTTTTGTGTCTTTTTTGTGATGCCACCATCTAGAAAATAAATCTGATGCTATAGCAAATGCAACTTGAAATATACAATTTGAAGTATGTCATTCTTTTCTGTTGCTTTCTTTATTTCTCTTATGAAAGCAATTAAACAAAAAAAAGGGTCGCAATATTTCAAAATTTTGGTAACAAGGCATAGCAGCAGAGCTGCAAAGTATAGGAAGCAGAGCAATTAAGAGTAAGCACTAAAGTAGTCTACTGAAAAAAAAAAAAAAAAAAAATCATCTGGCTTTACTTTACGAGCGCTGTTGAAACAGCGAAACTGATGTCCCTTCTTGATCAGGCGATATTGTATTTCTATGTTTTTTGAGTCCTCCCTTCATTGGCGCTTAGCTTAGGCTTCTGTTGCGTGCACATAGCGGCTGGCTCGGCAACGACATGACCACTCTTGCGTCAGCCCTTGGTAACACTCACGTCAGACAGCTTCTTCCTGGGGAGCAGTGTTGGCTATTATCAAAGTGCAAACTCGCTAAGAACCAACATCTTCCTGTGTATCCACCAAGATACTCACCGACCTAATTTTTGCAAAACGGCTGGACTCCTCTTTGTAGCCTTATTCTCGCCCCTCTTGATGCACCCTCATTGGTTCACAAGGTCTCACTCTGCCCCTTTCTCGGACGCCTCTCATTGGTTGACTTTTCAAGCTTGACCATCACCATTCACAGCATGGCACAACCCTTCCCTTCCATAAAGAGCCTCACTCTCGTCGCATTTCGATGCCACATGATCAGCATTACGCCATCGGACTTTGGGAAAGCCTGTACTTTAAACATCTTCACTGTTAAAACATTGCGCTTGATAATGCGTGTTGCCAATACTCGCAAGATTAACTGTATGGCGTGTCCCACCACATCGAGTGTGTGTAATGTTTTCACCAGGACATTCACTGTACGTGTTTGTGTAAATGTGAGCCTCATCTTCATTCCTGCTATTCCTACTGGGGTACAGTACCAGTACAGTGTGTGGTTCAACGAGCCTAGGGGCCGCAGGCAACAGAGGTCTTTGGTGTGTTCACATTCCTAAGATGATGCAGTATTCTACATGTGATGCCATGAAGATAGGTGCATGCCACGACAGGTTTAGCAGTAACAGGTTATAGTACAGACACACATATAAATGGCTGTGTTCCTTGCTGAGGTCACCACCATTTTTTCTGTGCATTTATAATATCTCTCCATTCACGCTAAAATTGCAGGCATTATCAAACTACCACCGTAAAAACCGAAATATAGGCCGTTTTTTTTCCCCAAAAAACGCCAGGCCTGCACAGTAGGGGCAGCACAGTCACAGCAAAAGCTAGAAGAGCGGCCTTTCAGAGCCTTTTCAAAACACTCATTGGGTAACTACTGCAAGCACGCTTGAGTGGTACTCACTAGGGCATTAATAATAAACTTTTGGGTAGTAGGCCGGCATTCGCTATGCTATTTTTTGTCATTCTTCTGATAAGCGTGGTATCCGCTGAACACTTGCAAAGAATTTTGTGCCAATCGTCCATGCAGTGGCTGATGATGATGAGGAATTATGGCTGTAGTGGGTATATGCCACATTTGATAGGGAAACAAGAACAAGCTTTTGTAATGGGTTGGAGCATTGAATGGCCCACTCATTATGCTAATCACATTGTGCGAGGACTGGTTGTTTTTTCGCTGTTTTAAAACGCTTTATAAGTCGTATTAACGCGATTGGTTTTCCGACATCATGCCTGCCTAAGGCAAGTTTGACAACAAGTTACAAGCACCGGCGTAATTGAGTGGTAGAATAATGGGCTGGCACCCAGCGGACCCGGGTTCAAGCCCCACTGTGTCATTGGTGCAAGGTTTTTTTTTTCTAATTTCGCGCGATGTGGTTATAGACATCAGCGGCAGTGACAGCGGTGGCGGGCAACATGCAGCTGCGTGTGCCCCGGAAAGTGATCTCATAACAGCTTTCGCTGTAAAAAAAAAAAATGCAGTGAAAAGTCTACCCCAATCTTACATACAGGTCATTAGCAGAAAAAAAAATCACAGCATATCCACGGAGTGAATGATGATTGGTGGGGCGAAGCATTCATCAGTCTATCCGTGCTTTCGTCCGTCCATCTGTGTGACTGTTGATACATCCGTCCATCCGTGCGTCCCTACATGCGTCCGTCCGTCCATGTGTTTGTCTGTGCATCTGTCAATCCGTCCGTTTATCTAGTGAACACTCCAAGTACAGCCATCTCGTATCTTTTCATCATGTATTCATCATATACAAGTGCCGCCATCCAACGGACATTATAAGGACCGCTCATTCGGGTATGTGCCACCGGTGGCTACATACACCATTGGAGGATAGACAGACCCACACCATAAGATGCTTCGCCCCTAAAAATGTGGAAGTCTTGCAACAATGGGCAGCTGAAGTCAAAAGCCTCCATCGTCATCGTGAGCATCAGCAGCGGCGTTGTTGGGCAAGGCTAGGCAAGGCCTTCTAGCAGCGCCATTTTTCTTCGGTTATCTGCTGTTAGTCTGCTGTTTTCTTTTTCTTATTTCCTTCAGAAATGAGTGGTAATCGACAGAAGTTTACGATAGGCTTTAAAAAAAAGTTATCGAGTATACCGAAGCGCATGGCCACCCGGCAACAGAACGGGAATTAGGTGCACCAGAAGAAAGCACCCAATATTAGAGGAGCTAAAAGAAGCACATCAAATTTTGCAGCAACCAAACAAAAAAAAAACATTGTTTCATGGACGGGCTGCAGTGCACCCCGAACTAGAAACGCTGTTCGCCGAATTCGTCCGGGAGCTGCGTGCAAGGTCGCTACCCGTAACAGCAAAGTGCGTCTGCAAGAAAGCTCTCGAGAACGGAAGACGATGCACGCTAGGATGTTACTAGTGAAAAACAGACGTCGTCAGACTCAAGTTCGGACGAGTCTGAGTGACAGCAATTTGTGGCCTTCTGGCGTTTAACTACATAAAGTTAGCATCCAAATAAAAATAAACGCCACCACAGTGCAGCTGGTTGTGTAGCGCATTTACCAAGGTAAGGGTGTCCCGTGATGCCTTGTGAATTTTAAAAATTTCTTTTTCAGAGATTAAAAGTTTGGGGGCGTCGACCTATATTTCAGTGCGACCTATAGTCCGGTTTTTACGGTAGTCTTTGCGCCTGATGGAAGGGTAGAAGAGCCTTTGCGGTGCAGTGTGGCATAAGCCACACCGTGAGTTGCTTTGTAATAACGTTCTCAACATTTGTCAAATCTTTTTGATGCACTGGCAGAACATCCAGCTCGGAGCCCCTGCCCAGAGTAAGCCGAGGAAGCATACGAGCCTCGGAGCACGAAGAAGTCACCCCTTCGCATAGGCCGTCCGTCGACCAACGGAGCAGCCCACCATCCCCACGCAAGGTATGCTCGGCACTCGGGAGCTATGTGTGTGTGATGATGAATGAAGATGAACTAGCTATTGCAGTTTTGTGTTTATTTGTATTACCGTAACATTTCGAGCGTGTGCCCCCACTGCTGTGCAAGGTTTGGAGGGGTGGCTTTTGCTTGGTCCTGGATCAGAATTCTCAGCCACTAGGAATAAATGAACACCCATGCTTCTAATTAAAGAAATACTCAAGTCAAATAACAATTTATGTCAGAGTGAAAGCTTAGTGTATGACATCTAAAACGACAATATTATCAACAACAATGCCCTTCTTACCGAGAAATTGAGGTAAATGCACAAGAACACATGTGCCACGGTAGTACATTCTCAAAATTATCCCGATGACATCAGATGGACCGCCTACAATTAATCTCTAGTAATCGATCTAGCTGCGCGAAATAAAGAACCTTCTGTGCAACAAGAGACGCAATAAAATGCTGCCTGTTCATTTCAGTTTTATTTATGAAAAAATGAACCGCTGGATGTTACTATGGGGAATGGCACGAGTGGTTCAAAAATTTAATTTTTGTGTAGTTACACTGGACAAATGGTGCCATCTAGCGGGGTGCAGTTGAATAAAAAAAACGTCTGCAGTTTTGGAGCCAATGGTGGGAAATTGATCAGTGGCCGTTGTTGCTGCTGTGGCTCCCACTGCTTTCGGTCTGCTGCTACTGGTGCAGTAAGGCCGAGCAATGTTGTGCACTGCAACAGTGACCTGAGTCGATTCTGGTCGGTCCGCTTATTGTCGCTGGTAATTTGAAGTGCGCTAACCCGATGCGGACCACTAAATTGTGATTTTATTTCGAAATGGGCCCTTCCTTGGCACAAAAGGAACACTACGAGGTTCCTGGACCACTATTTCAACAATCAACGTCGACTTGATAGTTGTCTTTAGTGCCCCTTTAAATGCTTTATTAAATATGCATTCATTGAATCTTTTACGGGAAAAGCTCCTCTTAGTCTTTGTCCTGCATCAAGCGTAACTGGTACTATTAGACAAACATACATACAGGCAAACAAACAGATGGATAGACAGAAGCACGGACAAACACACGGACAAACAGATGGACAGACAGACAGACGGACGCTTCGCCGCACTCGTCATCATTCACTCCATGGATAGGCTGTGATTTTTTTATTCAACCTATGGGCAAATGGGAACATTCGTCAAACGTACGGAAAAAAGTGACAGGGGTGCTTGCTCAGGATTTTACCGTAGTATTAATATCATAATTTACAGAGCTCTGCTAGTCTTGGGTTGTGAGCAGGAGTGGGTGACGTAAGATATCAAAAAACAAGTGCACATGTATGCAAGAAATAATTGAGCCAAAATTGTGTCACACAAACGAACAAAAAGAAAAGGGAAAATACACTCATGAATGGCAAAACACAAGTAAACCTAGCATACAATGTTAGAGGCACTAGCAGTTGGAGCCGATTGTAAAAACATTCCGGAACAAATTTGTATGTAGCAATGCACTCGGTAAAACACAGCGTTTTAAATGAAGCAATGTTCATTCTGACTGCAGGGCTTATATGAAGACTGTAGCACACAAATGTCTAGTTTCATTTTAATTACCCTAGGCTTGTGTGAATAGTGAATTTTAGAGTCGTAGTGAATTTGAAGTGAACAGTGATTTTGGTCGAATCATCTCTAATTGAATTTAAATAGTATATATATTGCATATTGTAAAGAAAAATTGGGCATCTTTGTCATGACCCAGCTAACCTGGACAATTTTTCTTTTTTTAGAAATTGAAACAACACCTGCGCATTTTTTTTTTTTTTGCACCAAAGAAAGCGGAACCAACTGAACAGTCGCAGGATTTAACTCTCGATAGAATGCAAGTGATAGCCAATAAAATAAGTTACTTTTTAAAACTTGCTATAAACTTGGACCATATAAGTCGGTATAACCAGCTTTTAAACTTGAAAAATGAATCTACGTAAGGGTAATATCCTCATTTGACTTTGAAGTGGGGCTTCGCGGCAGTGCGGATTTCTCCTGGATATGTGTTTTCACAATGTAGTGCACAGTGAAACCACTTTTACAGGAAGATTACATGCGAACTGATATACACCTAATTAGGTGCTTAGATTGCTTAGCACTGCTTTACTGCAGTGACACTACCTTTGCAGGGTGTCACATGCCAACCAGTTTGCACCTATTCGTTTGTCTCGAATGATTCGAAGTTTTCTATAATTTAAACTCGATTCGAAGCGAATTTGAATACTGCATTATTTGTTCGAATATTAGAAGCATTCAAATATCCGCCCTAGCCTAGTTTAATACAGTGTGCTCTATGCAGACAGACATTTGTTAAACATAACTACTGCTTAAATGGAACAACTGCCTCTGATACGATTGCTTTCATAGATGTATTAAGGAAGGATTAAGGAAGGAATGATAAAATTTTTTCAAGAAGCTTTTGCTGTACTGCTGCAATCACTTCCGGGAGCTTGCAGTTAGCAAAAGCATAAGCTTCTGAAATCAGTTCCTCTTGCAAAGAGAGCTGTTACTGGAGGTGGGGAATGAGCATGGTCTGTAGAGAGGAGTGGTACCCACCTAGATGCCTCTGTTGTACATGGTACTCGTTACAAAAATGAATTGCGTTGCCAACGAAAATGAACTTCTGGTCAGGTGTACAAACGTTTGCTTTGCCATAACTGACATTTAGGTGATGCCTATATCTCCAATTCTAGATGTTTTCTCTTACTCATAGAAAACAAATCAATTCAAAAGTAAATTGTGGAAAAGCAGCTTCCAAATCTTTTTCTTCCGTTCAATAATTATTTTTATTCATTTTTGTATCTTAAAGGCAAGGTGAACTGTAGACTAAATACATGCTGCGAGGTTTTGCAGAGACTGCGTTTGAAGTTGTACTCTTGCAATGCAGCCAATGCCGCCTCAGGTGCCATCATTGGACGAAGTCGTGCACTCTACGGTGTCTCCCATCCTAGACAGCATGGCCATGGGAGAAGGACCACTCGAAACAAGCCAGAGAGACCCACAGAGGTGAGAACAAACTACAAAGGCTGAAAGAGTCAAATTCATAGCGAACTTGAAACAAAATGTCCACCATGGGAGATGTTCCAACCGCATAGTGCATTTAAATAAATGGATGCCTGACCCATTTAGTTTTGCAACAGATTTTAATCAATGGTAATGGTGGTTAGTATGCGATGTGATAGTTCGTATATAATGCAAATGCAGTATGTTGCGTCAGAGCACAGAGTTTGTTTTGAAGCACAGTGGTTTGTTATTATAAAAGTTATTTTACGAAAATCTCGTTCAATAGACAACATATGAGCAGGTTTTTTTAGAAGTAATCAACAATGTTTGTCATGATTGATTGATCTGTGGGGTTTAGCGTCTCATTATCACTGTATGATTATTAGAGACGCCGTAGTGGTGGGCTCCGAAAATTTTGACCACCTGGGGTTCTTTACTATGCACCAAAATCTGAGCAAATGGGCCTACAGCATTTCTGCCTTTACCGGAAATGCAGCTGCCACAGCTGGGATTCAATCCCGCGACCTGCAGGTCTGCAGGTCAGCAGCCGAGTAGCTTAGCCACTAGACGACCACGGCGGGGCAACAATGTTTATCAGGAAAGTCGGGTGTGCAAACACAAAATGAAATAAGAGGACTAAACACAGACGGCTATTCAAGTTTTGTTCTTCAAGAAAAAAAAAGAAAAAAAAATTGTGTTGTCTTGCGTGCTTTGATCATGCTCACGTTTGCATGCCATAATTCTACCACAAATTCTTGAGTGCTTGTTCCTCACATCTGTTTATACCAACCTCATGTTGGAGCTCAGCCAGGAGTCCGTACAAATGCAGTAGTGAAAGCAGGTCCCATGGTGCAGTGTGCATGAAAGCCATCACTGGGAACAGCCAACTACAGCTACCATCAAATACAGCTGCTATGCAGCCTGCCAAGTGACCCCGCCACCCCTCAGAGTGCTTCTAAAGGGAGCTAGAGCATGCTTGTGCAGCTTTCTCATCATTACACTCGAACCTCATAATAATGAAGTTGCATCTTACATGAAAATAAGTTTGTGATTACCGAAAATACCTTATACTATAGGTATACTCCTAACACACTATCTATTGCAAGACGATTGCTCAATTACTTTGTTATAACCGATATTTCATTATATCGAGGTTTGAGTGTATGACATGCCACTGTAGACAAATCTCCAGAAGATTTCTCTGTCAACTCGTGTGTCTTTCTTCGCAGGGAGGTTCTGGGAGACCCAGGGGCGGGCAAGCTCCAGCTGACCCTTCGCTACAGCGCACAGAGGAGCCGCATGGTGGTGGTCGTCCACCGAGCCGTGTGAGTTCTGCTCCACATATTTCCAACTGCACTTTCCCGTGGCTTCTGTGAGGACCAGCAGAGCACTGCTTTGAATGTGTCTGTGGCTGAGCAACTACACACACATTCGATTCCTACCTGCTTTTCAGTCAGGACTTGCAATAAAGTAGTAAAAAATTTAGTGCCTTACTTTAATGTGCAAGTTTGTAGACATGTTGATGTCCATGGTGTTAAAAAAAAGACGAGCCGCTGTCCCTGTGGCGAAGCCCACCGCCGACCACTTCCCTATTTTTTGTTCTGATCTGATCTTAACCTAATGATAATAGAGTCACTCGCCATCTTCTACACAATATTCAACACCCTCCATTCAAGAACAATGGCGAGTGACGGCAGAGAACACTAATACACACAGCTTCTAGGTACACACTTTCTGTTCATGAGTTCTTGTATCAGGTTCGGGTCAATCCATGTAAGTCAGTCGGATTGTTCACTGGTGCTTGGTATTCCGGCGGTGCTTCCGAGGTTTGTTCCTCTCCCGTGCCTTTAAACGTGTTCCCCTTGATGGACTCGTGTGGTCGATTAGCAGTTTTTTTTTCGTATATAAATCGATGATGCTCTCTGTTCAACGAGGGTCTGCAGGAGGTATTTCTGAGAAATTTTCTAGAGTTGTTGGTCCTGTCTGCCGTTTCCTTGGTATCACTGGCCTTCTTTCTTTGCTTTAATCTGGGCATTTCCCGTTTTTCAATTTGACGCTGTCATGGTACTTCTTTTTTTTGGATGAAGTAAGACACATGATCTACATTTCCTTCAAACCTGACGGAGGCAGATTTCTCAAAGAGCATAGGCTACAATCAGTATAACGGGCTTCCTTCAGCACACTCGTGGTCTTCCTTCTGTTTCTTTTTGAGTGACTAGCTGGCCTTGTTTTCCTAATCGTAGGCCTTTGTACTCATTGCTGTGAAGACTTATTACAACCTGTCATCTTTGGTGGGCACTCATCTTCCAGATCTGGTGGATAGTCTTTTAGATTTTCAATGCTTTCTGATTTTCCTTCGTACAGGTCTCTCCCACCAAGTATGCCTGAGTGCTGATGCTATTTTGTCGTTCACTTCACAGGTTCACTTCACGGGTGATGCTTCCTTAAAGGGACACTAAAGTTAAATGACAATTTATGTCAGAGTGACAGCTCAATGTATGACAACATCTAAAACGACAATATTATCAACAACAGTGCCCTATTTACCGAGAAATTGAGGTGAATGCACAAGAACACAAGCCCCGCAGTAGGACATTTTTAAAAGGATCCCGATGACATCAGACAGACCGCCTACAAGTAATCACTAGTAATCGATCCAACTGCACTGAATAAAGAACCTTTCGTGCATCAAGAGATGCAATAAAATGCTGCTTGTTCGTTTCTTTTTGATTCATGGAAAAAAGAACCACCGGACGTTGCCATGGGGAATGGCGCGAGTGGTTCAAAATTTCAATTTTCACGTGGTTACACGGGACAAGTGGTGCCATCTAGCGGGCGCAGTTGAAACAAAAGCATCTGCAATCTCAAAGTCAATGGCGGGAAATTAATCAATGACCCATGTTGCAGCTGTGGCTCCCGCTGATTTCGACCTGCTGCTACTAGTGCAGTGAAGCCGGGCAACATTGTGCATGGCAACAGTGACGTGAGACGGACCGGTGGGCTTCTTGAAGCGGTAATTTGAAGCGCGCTGACCCGATGCGGAGCACTAAATCGTGATTTTATTTCAAAATAGGCCCTTTCTTGGCACGAAAGTAACACTATGAGGTTTCTGGACCGCCATTTCAACAATCAACGTCGACTTATTAGTTGGCTTTAGTGTCCCTTTAACCTAATGATGATTGTGTCACTCTTCATCTTTTGCTCTATATTTAACACATTGAATTCACTTTCTTGTCATGTTTAATGGTAAAAGCTAGGCTTGTGCGAATATTCGAATGCATAGAATATTCTAACAAATACTACAGTATTTTAATTGGGTTCGAGCTTTAATTTGAATTTAAATTATTGACAATTTTGAAGTATTTCAGATGAACAAATAGGTGTGTATTAGTTTGCATGTAACTTCCTGTGGAGGTGGTTTCACTGCAGTTAACAGGTGCCAAGCCCTGAAAGCACCTGTAATGCAGAAACTCGCATTACCGCGAAGCTCCACTTCAAGGTTAAGTGAACATATTAACCTCACATAGGTTCATCATCTTTTAAGTTTAAAAGCTTGCCATACACCTTATACGCTTCTAATATAGTAAGTCTTACAACATGACAGGTTTTACTAGTAAACGTCTGTTCTACTGAAAGTCAAATTCTGTTACTATTCAAAGTTTTTTCCACTTTCTTTGAACCAAAAAAAGTCATCTGGACAGGCCTTATTTTGATTTTTCTTTAAATATTGTGTAGGTACATTAGGTAATGACAAATATGCTCATTTTTTTGTATAATATGCTATGTATACTATTCGAATTCGATTCAAACTTATTTTACCAGAAAAGCCTAATAAAAAGTTAATCAGTAGACTAATTAATCACATTTTGGTTCATACATAAAGTACAGAAGTGGTGTTTGACAGTATTGTTTGCCTTAATAAGCACTTATAGTTACTCTACTGAGATGCTTGTTGCGTTGTGTTATTCACAGAAATTTGGTCCACAAGGACGGTGAGGATCTTCCGGACCCTTATGTCAAGCTTCAGCTGCTGCCTGACCGATCCAAGGAAAGCAAGCGCAAGACACAGATTTGCCGCAACACTTGCAACCCTGTCTTTGATGAGACGTAAGCATTCGTGCCAGTCTCTGAATGTTTGAACGATATGGTGACAACAACGTTGAGTGTATTCTCAGGTGACGATCCTCATTCATTCGTGAACAGGCCTGTTTTCGTTAGTCAACCAGGATCAACCAGAGAGCAAAGGTAACGGGGTGCGAGAGAGAAATGTATGAAGTTTCTCATTAATTTTGTTCTACTCTCTTCCTGTTGTAGTGACAGATGGTTTTGTTGGTGATGCCTGTAAACCACATGGGGACATCAAGTTAAAGCAGCCTGTGATTGCTAAAGCAATTTGAGTTACTACTTGACCACTGAGTGCTTTAGGGAGATTAGTGAAAACTAAGTAAAAAAATTTTGGCCCCGTATCTGCATGTTTCACTGCCAATGTCGTCGAAAGACGTTTGTCTTGCATGTGTAGAGAATGAACAAAACGTTTATTTGATCTACGCGAGAAAATAGGTGAATTGTATTCTGGAGTCGCTGCATTAGAGAGTCTTGGTTCTTGCAGCGAAGACGAACGAGCACATTGAGTCACGTTAGGTACGAGCGCTATCGGGCAGTTATCTTCGAAAATGAAGGAAGACGTGCACACCTGTCTTGAAGGTGATAAGCTGTAGAACGTGAAACGATGGGCATGTGCAACGACTGTGTCGTCTTAGCAAAGCATTGGAAACATTTGCCTTTTTGAGCATCGGGTTGCATTGTTAGCACAGCATGATAAACGCTACGGTCCTTAGAATTATTTATGTATGCCTTCTCTAGTATAAAGACACACATACAGAATATTGACGTGTTATTATGGTGCCTTATATATGCTCAATAATTGCTTTTTATTGACCATAGCACAAGTATGAACGCTGAAACTTGAGCAATATTGGTGGGTGCTGTGGATGGGGTTTGCCGTTTGGGGTATTTTTTGGGGCCGTTCAAGGTATCATTAGGGCGGGCAAACAGATAATTGTACAGGCAGACAGAAAGACAGACAGACGGATCCAAAGCTTTGTGTCGAAGTACCCCAAGAAAGACTATCGTCTTTAAAAAATATTGGTGTCGTAGGTGCATAGGGTAATTACCTTGAGTGAATGGATGCATAAAGGAAACGGGTTCTATCAGCAAGGGGTTCAACGTGATGCCTTCCTGACTTTTTCGCTGCTTTGCTTCTCCAGGATGGAGTTTGAGGCAGCGCTGTCGGACCTGGAAGGCAGCACCCTCCAGGTGCTGGTCAACTCAAAGAGTGGGTCGTCCATGTTCTCCCGTGGCAAGACGTTGGGACGCACACAGGTCAGCCTGGCCAACCTGGATCTCACCAAGGCACTCACCGACTGGTAAGCACCTCTCTCTCACAACTGGCGCCTGTGGTCTTCGACTAAATTGAATTGCTGAATGATATGATCTGCAAGATCCTTAATATGATCTGCAAGATCCTCAACTTCCTTGTGGACCAAGTTTCTGTGAATAACACATCGCAACAAGCATCTCAGTAGAGTAACTATAAGTGCTCAGGGCAAACGGTACTGTAAAACATGGCTTCTGTATTTTATGTATGAACCAGAATATGATTCATTAGTCTACTAAGAATTGTATGGTCAATAATCTTGCCACTATGGGTTCGTTGTTAGGTTTCAGTTTTGCACTCAGCATGGAAACCTGGGTAGCCGAATCCCAAAGTGAAATCCTAGACTTCAAGGTCTTTTTTTCTTTATTTTGGCCACATTACACAGGCCTATATGGGCTAAGTACTATAGCGAATTTCAAAACATGTTCTATTTTACCACTTATAGGTTGCACCCTACCATTATTTCTTTATTTAATACCCACAGCGGCCACACAGGCATTATAAGGGGTGGGGGCTACAGGAAAAGAACAAACATGAAAACTGCAGGTTCACACAAGTTTGTGTAAAAAAAAAAAGTAGATCACGCAAGAGCAAACATACACAGCTGCATCGAGCATAGCTGCGTCACAAAATTTTATATGTATTGGGAAAACAAACTAAAAAAAAAACCAGAAGCCACAGAAGTTAATGACAACACAAAAAATAATTAAAACAATGTGCAGTATTGGCCCAATACAAGGGCTAATGAAACGCCAAAACAAAACGATATAAATTACAATCAAAATACCCTACAGATAATGGTGACTGCCAGGCACCTATTTATAAGGCTGAGCAGTTGGAAGATTCAATCATTTTTATTGTATTTTATCAATCATTTTATGCAGAAAAGACCACATCAGTAGAAAAAATTTGTGCAATTGTGGGAGGAAGCCGATTCCACTGACTGATAGTTCTCTGGAAAAAAAGAGTTTCTGAAGGACAATGTATTGCATTTGTATTCTCTTGTCTTGTATTCATGATCTTTGTGGGCTGAAATGTAGCGAGGCCGGGTAATGTGTACGTCATGGGGAATTCGAGTAATATAATCCCACTACTATTTGAATTGTTTTGAAATTATTCAATACTAGTTGCTAGGGGTGTACAAATATTCAAAATTTCGAGTGTTTTTCTAATAGTGTTTGCTATTCGATTCGATTGGCACTGGAATTTTATCATTAAAATTCCCAAAGACAAATGCAGTGAATGTCCAATTGGCAGTAAGCCCTTCAGATTTTCAATATGCTTTACCCCATAACCCATACTGTGGCAAAGCAGCCTTTCAGGCTTTGCTATGTTTGGAAGTGTGTCGACTCGAGAAAACGCTGGTTCCAGCATGGAGATAATAGATGTGGCAGAGGTGGAGGCTCAATGAATGCTGTTTTAAACCTGAAATTTGGGGAAGGAAGCCTGAAAGATTGAACGCCTGAACATTTTCACCATCCAAAATTTCAGATGTTCATATATGCTGACGTCTATGAGGCAGATTTGGAACTTCGGACTCGAAGGGAGCACTCCTTTGTCTGTTTCATCAGTTGGGCTTCCACAGAAGTTGAGAGGCTGGGGAAATAGCATTTCTGCCTTTCACATGTAAAGTGTTGTTGGTTACATTTTACACGAATAGCATTTGGCCTGTGTATTTTTCTCATTTTTGATAAGACGACTATAAAACACTACGCCACTAGCGCTTCCATCAGCCTAGCCAAAAGAAACGCCTTCATGTTTCTATCGTAAGAATATGCCCAGGAATCTTCTCCAACTTTTTTTCTGGAATTCGAAGTATTTTCAAAATACTCTAAAAATATTTGAGAAATATTTTTAAAATATGCAATTTGATTCCCGTTCGCCCTTCAGACTTTGAATTTGCTTCACACATGAAATTCAGCTACTCGTGCAGCTCTTCTAGTTATCATTCACTTTGATTTTGCTTCGAACCAGAAACTATATTTGCCGAAGCCTGATAATGTTTATCGAGCAAGATCACTGCCACGCCAGTTCTCGGAACTGCTATTCAATAACCCCAATGTTCATGAAACGATAATTCTGGTTGTGGTGCCGGATATTCAAATGGATAAACATTACATATTGACCCGTGTCTACATGTGGACAAAAACGATGATGGGGGGATTTAGCGGACACCAGGTAGTGGGCCTCTGGCTTGACGCGAGAACGAAGAAGAAGATCTTGCGACTCAGCTGTTGAGAACACCCTGCTTTCGCTGCCTCAAGGCGCACTTGTGCTTTGTTCGCGTTGTACTGCGACACTGGTGGAGGTGCTGGCCCGCGACCCCGCCTGATGCTCCACACTCCCACAGGGAGCCGTTCATTCAGCCCAAAAGCACTTGTCGACACTCCCGTGCATCGCTTCAGTCGTCGCTTGTGAGGCCTCCTTCCAGAGTTCACCCTCTCACAGGAACACTCTACAAGGCACCGCTCACATCTACCAATGGCCACCGCCAGTCCACAACAGTTACTACGAGACAGTAGTTTGCCAACCCCATCTCAGGTAACCCTTTTTTCACCGCTGGTACCTGATCGCTTTGGTGGTGCAGCACATGAAGATGTCGAAGAATGGCTTGATCACTATGAATGTGTCGCTAACACCAACCAGTGGTCCCTTAAACAAAGGCTTTCCCGCGCCTATTTTCATCTCGACGACAGCGCTAGAACTTGGTATGAGAACAGAGAAGGCAGTTTGTCAACATGGAGTGACTTTAAAAGAGGGATGATTGGCACATTTGCCGATGTCGACCGGCGCGAACGTGCGCAGCATTTACTCGAGCTACGGGTTCAGAAACCCAATGAAACGGTCGCAATGTTCGCTCTTCCGTAAAGCTGACCCGCACATGACCGGCGACAAAAAGTTGCGCTACCTCATGCACGGCGTTAAAGAGTAATTGTTCGCCGGAATTTAGCGGAAACCGCCAAGCACCGTGACAGACTTCATCAAAGAAGCTACGGCTATCGAACGGGTGCTTCACCTACGATGCCGACAATACGATCGCTTGTCCAGCAGCGCCCACATGCAAGTCGCCGCTACGACATCTGACAATCAAAGCTCATTGCGCGATTTAATAAGAGAGATTGTTCGCGAAGAGCTGCTGAAGCTGCGGAATCTGGTCACGGAACCACCCACGGCGTCTGTCGCTGAAGTCGTCTGCGAAGAAATACGCCAAGCGTTTTTAACAGCTGATCCTACTGACGATCAGCGACCTATGAGCTACGCAGCCGCGCTTCGCCGCCTGCCGCCCGTTGCGCCGTCGTACCGCCAGCCATCGGCAGCCGTTCCTTGCTCGCCACCACAAGAACAGACACCGCGGCGCCCTGCCATCGTACCGCCGTACGAAATGCCGCCGTACCAAGAGCTGTCTCCCAACGAGACACGGCATTTGCCACATTACGAGCCGTTGCGGCGTCCACAGCTTCGTAAAACAGACGCCTGGCGCACTATAGATAGGCGTCCGCTTTGTTTTACCTGCGGAGGTGTGGGCCACGTTTCCCGCCATTGCTGGCACCGCGTAGATATGTTTCGACCTCTTCGACAATGGTCTGACGATCGATGTGCCAACGACGGCTACGCACCACGCCGGCTACGCACCACGCCGGGACGCTCATTCTCAAGGACCCCCCTTGTCTCAGTCCCATTTTGACAACCGCCGTGCCAATAATGACGACAGTGTGCCTGACTACCAGCCAGGTTTGGGACGTCGACCACGCTCTCCGTCTCCGGCATATTCGCCTTCGTCGCGCCACCGAACTACAGCCGACGTCAGTGGAAGGAGGTCACCAAGTCCATGCCGGGGAAACTGAAGGCGGCGACCTCCGGGGGTGAAGTTGCAGGCCGTCAAGGCGACGAAAAAAAGCCCCTGTTACTTGTACCACAGGACGGCGTAAAGCCGAGAAGTTGTAACACCGACGAAACTGTGACCACAGATCTTACCGTTTTGGTAGACGGACAGCAAGTAACAGCCTTAGTTGACACCGGCGCCGACTTTTTTATCATAAGTGAAAACCTTGCCGTACGGCTTAAAAAAAGTGAAGACTACGTGGACTGGACCTCACCTGAGGACAGCAGGCGGCCAGCTGTTGATGACTGTCGGAAGGTGTACAGCAAGACTCGACATCGGTGGCTCCTCTTTCGTGGCGACGTTCGTCATCCTCACCTCGTGTTGCAAGGACTTGATCATAGAGATGGACTTCTTAAGGGAATATGGTGCCTTCATCAACATCCCGGACCGTTCAATTACATTTCGCAACAGCCCTGGTTTAGTTGACTGTTCAGACGCAATACGCAACACTTTACGTATAATTGATGATGATGTGGTCGTCCCGCCCCAGTAATGAACTCTTGTTTCGGTGGAAGGCCACGAAGCGTTTGATGGCGAAGGCATTGCTGACCAAATTGGCTCGCTGCTATTTAGTCATGGAATTTCGGTCGCACGAGGTATCGTCCGTCTCACTGGTGGACGCACGAATTTACTTCTGACGAACTTTAGTGCTGAGCGCCGACACCTTCCGAAGGGCACAGCTATTACTTCGTACGACAATATTGTAGAAATGCGAGGCAGTTTATTTTTGTCGGTATTGGACGAAGCACCTAATCAAGAACCAGAACCCATTCTCGATGTTGGCACCACTCTGTCAAAGGACGAGCGACAGAGACTTCTTCAGCTGCTAGCCGAATTCTGCGACTGCTTTTCAACGACATCACGAGTTGGTCGGACACCTTTGACAAAGCACCGAATAATCACCGAGGACACGGTGAGACCTATCCACCAGAACTCTTATCGTGTAGCTTCAAAGGAACGCGAAGCCATACAACAACAAGTCGCGAAAATGCTTGCAGATGACGTCATTCAACCGTCACAGAGCCCCTAGGCATCCCCTGTAGTGCTAGCAAAGGAAAAGGACGGCACCCTGCGTTTTTGCGTGGACTACAGGAAGCTGAATGGGGTGACCAAGAAAGATGTGTACCCGCTCCCACGTATTGATGACTCCCTTGACAGACTTCGGCACGCTCGCTACTTTTCTTCCATGGACTTGAGGAGTGGATACTGGCAGATCAAGGTAGACCCAAGAGACCGACAGAAAAGCGCTTTTGTGTCGCGAGATGGTTTATACGAATTTAAAGTCTTGCCTTTCGGTTTGTGCTCCGCGCCCGCGACTTTTCAAAGGCTTATGGGCACGGTACTTTCGGGATTGAAGTGGAAGACGTGCCTAGTCTATCTCGACGACGTTATAGTGTTTTCGACCACTTTTGACGAGCATCTCAAAAGCTGGAAGTTGTTTTACGTGCCATACGGTTCACAGGCCTAACATTGAAACCAGAAAAGTGCTATTTCTGTTTTCGCGAACTTCAGTTTCTGGGTCACGTCGTCAGCAACGCAGGCGTCCGGCCCGATCCTGGAAAAATTGCCGCCGTCGCACAGTTCCCAGTACCCTCCAATAAGAAGGCTGTCAGACGTTTCCTAGGCCTTTGTGCCTATTATCGCCGGTTTATCGCAGACTTCGCCCGCATTGCGTCGCCACTAACTCGTCTCACAAGAGACGATGTTGCCTTTGAGTGGAAAGAACAGGAGGCTGCCTTTAATGACCTGCGTCAACGTTTTCAAACGCCCCCTGTGCTTGCCCACTTCGACGAAGAAGCCCCAACTATGCTTCACACAGACGCTAGCAATGTAGGTCTTGGGGCTGTGCTTGTGCAACGGCAAGAGGACACAGAAAGAGTGATCGCCTATGCAAGCCGAACGCTACACGCGCAGAGGCTAACTATTCAACAACAGAGAAAGAATGCCTCGCCGTAGTATGGGCAGTAATGAAATTTCACCCGTACTTGTATGGCCGGCACTTCAAAGTTATTAGTGACCATCACTCCCTTTGCTGGTTAACTAATCTAAAAGATCCCACCAGCCGATTAACGCGTTGGAGCTTAAAACTGCAAGAGTTTGACATGACGGTCGTGCACAAGTCAAGCAAGCGACATATGGACGCTGACTGTCTGTCCCGTTCACCCATTGAGTCGGCAATCCTACCTGAGGAGGAGGAAACGGCATTTCTCGGTGTCCTCGACACGACTGCCATTGCGCAGCAACAACGTGACGACACTGAGTTGCTTGGCTTAATTAACTACTTGGAAGGCAGATCTCAGAAGGTGCCAAGAGTTTTCGCAAGAGTGTTGTCATCGTTTTGTTTGCGGGGCGGAGTACTTTACAAAAGAAACTTTTCGTCGACAGGATCCGCCTATCTGCTCGTCATACCAGCAGCCCCTCGTACCCAAGTACTCAAAGCATGCCAGAACGAGGTGACCTCTGGCCATTCGGGTTACATGAGAACGTTGGCCAGAGTACAGCAAAGGCATTACTGGCCGAGACTAACCACAGCCGTGAAGCACCACGTTCGTACCTGCTCGACTGCTAGCGACGCAAGTCACCACCGACTAAACCAGCTGGCCTCCTGCAACCCGTGCAGGTCCCAACAGCTCCATTCTACCAGGTAGGCATGGACATTTTGGGCCCACTTCTTATTTCTACTGCAGGGAACCGCTGGGTTATCGTCGCAACGGATTATCTGACCCGTTATGCCGAGACAAAGGCTATCCAGAGAGGTACAGCAGCGGAGGTGGCAAGATTTTTCATCGAAAATATTGTACTGAGGCATGGTGCACCAACCGTCGTGATCACAGACAGAGGAATGGCATTTACGGCAGCTCTTTTGGATCACGTCCTGATGCTGCGTGGAACAACGCATCATAAGACCATTGCCTACCACCCACAAACAAACGGGCTGATGGAGCGTCTGAACAAAACCATTGAAGACATGCTTTTGATGTACGTAGACATTGAACACGAAAATTGGGATGAAATCTTGCCATACATAACGTTTGCGTACAACACGGTCAAGCAAGAAACGATCCGCATGACCCCGTTCAGCCTCGTTCATGTACGAGAAGTACGAACTATGTTAGATGCGATGCTACCGCACGAAAGTGATGACATCGACCCAGACGCCAACACGTTTACGGAACGCGCGGAAGAAGCTAGACAACTGGCACGTTTACGGATCCGCCAGCAGCAAGAGTACGATACAGGCCGCTACAATGCTCACCGCAGAGCAGTTGTCTATCAAACTGGTGACAAAGTATGCATTTGGACACCCGTACGGAAACAAGGACTATCAGAAAAGCTCTTAAGAAGATACTTTGGGCCATACCGAGTGCTGCGACAACTGAGTGACGTCACTTACGAAGTCGTTCCCGACAATTCGTGTAGCACTAAGCGTCGCCAGCACCATCCTGAACTCGTTCACGTAGTGCGCATGAAGCCTTACGTCAGCGAGTGATTGCACGAGACTTATCTTTTAACAAAAACTGCATTTTTGACTTCGCCTCGGGTCGATGCTCTTTGAGAGGGAGGCAAATGACCCGTGTCTACATGTGGACAAAAACGATGATGGGGGGGATTTAGCGGACACCAGGTAATAATGACATGGTATTAAACACGAATAAATGTGTTCACGTCAGTTTCACCAAAAAGGTTAATAGATTTACAAATCAGTACATATTAAACAATGAAGTTATTAGGTATGAACACAAATATAAGTATTTGGGTGTCACGCTTTCTGAGGATGGGGGATGGTCTGAGCACATTGGCAATGTTGTAAGTAGAGCGGGAAAAGCCCTAGGCTTTTTACAAAGAAATCTTAAACATGTAACCAAGGAGGTTAAACAGGCCGCATATTATGCCTATGTGAGACCAATACTAGAATACGCCTGTCCTGTGTGGGATCCGTTTAACAAAATACATATTCATGAATTAGAGCGCATTCAGTCGATGGCAGCAAGATTTGTTCTGGGAAAATATGGCCGAACTGAAAGCTCCCGTTGTATGAAAAGAGAACTTAATTGGCAATACTTACAAGATCGAAGACGTAATCTAAGATTAAAACTATTTTATTCGATATATAACAATAAAACGGGCATTAATGCTTCAGATTATTTAAAAAAAGCGTATTATCAATCCTCCCGTCATGATCACAAATTTAAAGTACGGCCATACAACCCCAGAACGGATCTTTTTAAGCATTCTTTTTTTCCGCAATCCATTGTTGAATGGAACACGTTACCAGCCGATGTAGTTGGCCGCAAGACTGCGGATTCATTTTATGAGGCTCTGTGCCCCCCGCAATAATGCCTAAGTGGCGCTGCGGGTTTTGTTTCAAATAAAATAAAAAAAAATAGTGGGCCTCTGGCTTGACGCGAGAACGAAAAAGAAGATCTTGCGACTCAGCTGTTGAGAACACACTTCTTTCGCTGCCTCAAAGCGTTCGCGTCATTTGTTCGCGTTGTACTGCGACAATATGTACTCCTGTTATGCAGCAGTCACGCCAGGTTATCATCAATTGTAGGTAGGCACCAACTGCTGAAGTTGATTTAAGTAGCAGTGTCCAGAGCTACCAGCCTCGCGAGCACCAGCACTTCATATCGGCTTATGGCTTCTGGTGTTGCTAATATCCATGTTGGTGTTGGCACCGTTATGCAGGTGTAAACAACTGGTTATATAAATCGTATGTTGCTCTTTAACGAAGTCCTCTGCATTCATTTGTACGTATCTTTAGTGCCACTTTGTAACATTTCGCTCAATAAAAAAATTAGTACACAGGCATCTTCCACCTGCATGCTTTGCATAATATCGATTCCCAATGTATGCGTTGGGTATGTTGAAATTCCTTTTTCTACTTTTTTGGCTTTTGCAGAGAGTGAGCTAAGCGTACTCAAACATGCTGCCTTAGTCCACTTCATGAAATGCTGGTTCCAGTGACATTTCATCACTTGCATGCATAGGTAATTTATGTAATACTGATGTCACATGGGCACTTTTGAACGCAGTCAGGGTATATCTGAATCCATATTTCTTCATTACGGTCAGCAATTGCCGCTGCTCTATGGTCCAAACTCATCTCGATCGAGTTTGGTGCAGACGTGTGTGAAACCACAGTGTGAGAGCCATATCTCAATACACAGATTGCGACCGGGCCTGATCATGATTAAAAATTGCCAGGTAGAAGCACCCGATCCGAATCGAGCCGAATACGGATTGGCCCCGATCGTGTTCAAGATCGCCCGTGTGAAACCAGTATTATAGTTTTTCTGGAGGCCCAACTTATCATGCAAGTAATTTTCATCTCTTAGACGTGATTAAAAAAAAATAACTGTGTGTAGTAAAAAAATTTAACATACCAAAAATATTAATGTTGCGCATCTTTTGGCTTTCTTGTAGGTACGAGCTGGAGCCGGATACCTAGGCTGTTGTCGTCACACCAGTTGTGGCACCATTTGTTTTTGTTTCTTGGTCTTTTCAGTGTTGTGCAGGAATATTTGACTGACTGAAAGTCCATCACACAAGAAAACTGTCCGTCACACAAGAAAATTGTGTCGTTGTTGTTATTTCTGTTTTTTTTTTCCAGTGTCTTTCTTGCACTTAGCAATGGTATCTGTGAGCAGGAAAAGAACTTATGCCGATGCTGCAGCGATAGATTATATTTACAATTGCATGTCACCTAAGCCTACTACGTAGAGTCGTGCGCTTTCAGAGCTTGCAGCGTGGCTTTCAGGATAGTAATAGGTTTTTGTGAGCACTGAATCAATTATCACTTAAGAATGCAGAAGTAATTACTATGTAGAAATTTCATAATGACGCTTGTAAATAACACCTGGCTTCTAATGCTCACTTTTCCTGGCTGATGGATTTTTGAATGTCTTTCATTGAGGTACAAGACTGAGCCTTTTTGAAAATTTTACATCTTACGGATATACTGATATATTAATCGCATGAAGGAAAACTTAAGGGGCACATATATGCTTCTTTCTTTTTTATGAGATCTTCTGGAAAGCGCACATAGTGCATTATGAACTTTACTAATTGTGTGCAGTGAAAAAGTGACGTCCAGCGATTGTGCCATTACTGTGAATTTATGTTGATTGTAATGCTCTATCCAGCATGTTCTCAATATTTTGTGTAGTTGCACGGCTACTTAGTGCCGGAAAATATATCTGAAAGAAAGCCCTTTTAAGTGTTTTGATAGTTTTTGTTAAGGTCGGGCTTACGTTTAGGCAACCGCAGTGTTTTCGATTCTCTGTTGTACTTATTGTCACAATTGTTTATCACACTGTTGATTATGTTTATGTTGTTCCTTTATAGTAAGACTCAATACAACTTGTTCTTTGCAGCTTTCATAGAAAACTCTGTGTCGATGTCTGCATTGAAATGCAGCGGTTCGTTGTGACGCTGTCTTACCTTTTGCTGCTGTGGTTTGATTACAGAGTGTCGAGAGCCGTTTGCCGGAATAACTTTGAGTCAACTTAAACTGTACGATTTCCCTGTGTGCGATTTCTGTGAGTTACTTCATAGGGAGTGTACCATTTTAACTTTCTAAGATGCTCAATGATTTAATCACAAGGCTGTGAATATTGCAGCGTGATGGGCATTGTCTTGACAAAGCCCTGGTGTCATTGAGTGGATTTCTCTAATGATAATTTTCCTCCCAAGGGCGAGCGAATCGAATTGGAATGAAAAGGATGCAGTAAAAGGTGTTGAGATTAGGAAGAATGTCGAACTTCCTGCATACAGCCCTTGTTCACAAAAGCAAACAAACTGGTAGTTTCGACCTTTTTGGTTTTAGCTGCCATGCCCTTGCTTTATAGCCAAGTTATAGTGCACTAAGTGCAGTATGCAAATTGCTTTGTTTACTAATATCTAAGCACACATGCTGCAGCTCGGTCTCTTTTTTTTTTTGTATCCACTATTATGTAGTAAACTTTTACTACAATTCTATGTTTCAAAAACTTGTTCTGAAACCAAGAACCATTTTATTTTGTAGCAGTATGCTATAATTTTTAATGAATGCATTGTTTTTCCTAATAATTACTCCAGTCCAAAAAATTTAGGGATGCTATGTAGGTTCAGTAGGTGTGCTTACTTCTGAGAAAATATTCTGTAATGTGCGCACATTATATTGTAATCAATATTACTTTATGTGGCTACATTTCTTGAAAGCTTTTTGGTTTTTACGTTGATTATTTGTAATGTTCCTGTTTTTTCTCTCCCCTGAACCCTCGCATGAACTGAATGTGGTGAGCCTCCATGTTAGTATCCACACAATTGAAAAAAAAAAAAAATGTGTTTTTTTATGTATAAGCATAAGCAAATGTTTGGCGACCATTCAGTGCCACAAAGAATTTTTTCACTCGAAAGACTGCATTGGTTGAAAACTAAGTGGCCTAGCCAAAGTATGTTTGACCAGTGTAATGTATTGAAATGATCTTATGCTGTGAATCTGTGCTAAACGATGTTTTTATTTTTCACCGGTGCCATGGTCCCAGAACTATTGCTTATGACAGAACTGTTCTTTTATCTTGATTTTAAATTGAGGAGCACTTTTTCTCTTCTGTTGGTACTATGTGCTTGCATTTTTTTCTAGTCATTTGTTAACTTTCGTTGTTCAACAACTGCTGCTTGTGCTACGCTTTTTATCCTTTCTTTAATAACCCAGTGATCCGAAGCGAGATCGGAATAAGCACAAGAATGCGGAGAATGAGCACTTTTTAATTGTTGAAGCGACCTGTGTGTGTTTCTTGTGTTGTGTGTGTATGCGAGAAAAAAAAAACACTGCCTTTTTTTATTTCGTCTACATTTTTCTTTTTTTAATGGGCAGTACTGAGTTGACACCCCGCCCTCCTGATCCACTTTGTAGATGGTTGAGTGATTTGAAAAGGTTGTGCAGTGTTTAAATTATCTCTTCTTTTTTGTTTGTTTGTCATTTAGTTGAGGATTTAGCAAACCTTGTGTGTTAGCTATTCGGCTTTTTGAATTTCACCGAACTGTTCAATGCTGTTCAAAATGGCCCATTTTCGACGGCAGTCTGTGCATTCTACAGAATACACAGAACCCCAAGGTATCCAATCGGTGCCCCCACTCGGCCCCATTGAAGGGTCATTGACCCTTCCTCGTTTCTCTGTGTGCTCATTTACCATTCGTAATGTGTGAATGCACTCGGGTTATATCACGGGTCTCTAGTGCAAGGAATTAGATGAATTTACGGTATCGTTTAGGGGAAACCGACTTTTATGTCCTTATCCCTGACCAATGAAACCCAGTGTCTCCAAAGTAGTGTTGATGCTACTGTACCTTGCATGGCATTGCTATTGCAGTGAAAGCTGTCACCTGTTGCTGGTGTTATGTTTGCTCCTTCGTGCATGTCTTATGGGTGACCGCACCTGAGAGAGGTGGACGTGGATAGGAAGTTGTGGAGGAGTTGGCTAGTTGTATGCAGAAAATACAGCTACATGATAGTGCATGGCGGCCTCAACAGATGGCATGTTTGCTCTGCCCATTTTGTGTAAGACAAAGCAGGAACAAATGAAGCAGTTTAGCCACGTTTCGTACGTGCCGAAATAAGTGCCGGCAGCACCAGATGATTTGAAGAAGAGGAATAAGCCATGCATGCTCTATGCCCTTTTCTTGTTCACTGCAGTGTTGGAGCTTATTTCGGTGCAGCAGAAAAATTTCAGAGCAAATACGGCTGCTAAGACCCATCTAGGGTGGCTATGCAGGATACTGGTTTTCGTATACACTCTTCCCAGTGTCCCTGCATTTTTTCGTGCATGACGCCTAAAAGAGACATCTGTCATCTCTGCGGATGACGCATGTAAGCACTTCTTATAGCTACGATATGATCGTACTGCTTATAAGACCTGGTTTGCTCTAAGGGTGTTACAGCGTGAAAAGCAGACAAAGGTGAACTAGTATGAAAGAGTGAATTTGCTGGCTAGAGTTGCATAGGCCGTCAAGGCAACATTGGCATCATTAAAATGTGCTGGAGTACCACAAGCCTTCAGTATGTTCACAAGAGGGTAATGAGCAGCAGCGAGAAAATTGCGGTGCGGTAATGCGAACACATTCTGCCAAGGCAAGAGTAGGACTGCAAAATGGTTTGTCTAAGTACCACACATACATTAATAATTTCTCTCGCTGTGTTTGCTCTTGGTACTTCAAGCTTAAGTGAAAAACATGAACTGCCTTGGTCTCGCAGAGGCAGCATAATATAGTGTGACATTCTGAATGCGCATTACGTGGCGTCTCTTGCAGTGTAGGAGTAGAATGTTTAAGATATTCAATAGAAGACCTCGAAACCATACTTGCCTAATACCTCCTGCCTGCTGACTGTGGCTGTGCTCTTTCTTGTCCCTACACTGTTCTTTGCAGTGTTGTAGTCGCTGCCTTTCTATACGATGTTGTGCCTGCCATACTGCCTCTCCCTGCATTGCTGTTGCAATTGTTTCACTGGGAAGGCCACTTCTATTCTGGATACAAAAGTACAGAGCTCTATGTAAAGGGAGAAACGATTTACTGTGCAGAAGTTTAGAGTAAATAAAACTGCAATACCCAATTGTAAATTCTATGCTATCATAAGGATTGGTCACTGCTTTGCCAAAAGCAACAAGGATTATATGTACTCGGCGGTTCAGCTTTAATCAGCGCATTTGGTCAGTTTATCGAAACCTGAAAACTTAGTGTGCCTAAATTGCATCGCTAATAGAAGAATTGAAGCTTCACAAGCACGTGTGTATGCCTCAATTGTGGAAAAGAACGATCGTAAACAAGAACAGTTGCCTAGTATGCGTCACTGTACTCCCTGGAGCAGTTATCATTGCAACCTCTTAACCTCTGCTTACTTGGAGTCTAGTGTTGTACAGAGAGTTGTTGATGCACAAGAGCTTAAACTGGTTTGACTTGTTCTTAGCTCTGAAGATTCTAGCGAATTGTTTGAAAGCTTGCGCATTTTAGGAAATTAGTTCGTTATGACAACAAGCATGTTGCCCCATTTGAACTACAAGAGCCTACTTTCCCCGAAGCATTTGTAGCAAGCTAGTGGTAAACGTTTTTCTGCCTGTCGTATATATAAGTGACTGCATGTTTCTGCTGCGAGACCATGGTTTATATCGCTAGTCTTTACAGGCCTATTCTAATGGGGGTGTAATGCAAAAATGACCCCAGTCATGCTTTAGGAGCAAGCTAAGAAAATCAGTGCTAATGAGGTATAATCACGAGCAAGGGCTGTCATGACCATCATGGGTCATAACATACGTTTCGCTGAGATGTTTTTCATCAACCGTTCAAGTGGAAATAATGGGAGTGCAAGAAGTGTTTCAAGATGTGAAATCTAGTTCATGTTGGGGACATTTTCGATGTTCCAGAAGTATAATCAATTGTTTGACTAATTCCGAGCTTGAAATGTTGCAAATGTTGTCGTTTGCTTCTCCTCCTATGGGCCGGGGAAGTGTCGGCCTTCGATATTCGTGCCATATTAGGAGCTTCAACAAAAACTGCGCATTGAAGCTCCCATCTCAAAGCTTTCCTAGTTTTTGTGCGTGTCATTGCACAAGTAGCATGTTCTTGTGCTGTTTGATAGAAATATAGCGCACATTTTTTAAAAATGCTATTGCACAATCAAAAGACTGAGGTTCGTTGTAACCCAAGTGGATTGTAAACCGGTTGACTTGCTGTTGTTTGCCAGCGTTTTGCATGGCGAGCTTGTGCGATTGGTTTCGAGCGCGAATCGGGTCTCTAAGTCTTTTCAAATAAAGGCAATTTCGAAAGCGCCATTCTTCTTTTCTGCTCTGAAGAATACGCATACCACCACATACCGCAGTATTTAAACGAGTCGCAAGTACCAGGTGTACGTTGTATTTGAGGATCTATGACGATCTCAAAATAGCTTTATTGTTTCCCACATGATTTTAGTCATTTGTTTTAGACTCCAAGCTATTCATATTGCTACTTTTTAAGCCTGGGTAATAAAATCGTACATTCAGCTTTAAACTATGTATTTTTTCGTGTGTGTATTTTATGCAATTTTGTTACCATTTGTTTGTAACTTCTGGTAGGTCCTTCTTACTAAATGCTCATGTGCCCTGTTTAAGCTACATTCGAATAAATAATGAATGAATTGCTGCAGAATTGAACGTTGAAACCTGGCATATGCTGATTCTAGGCAGTACTTCTATAATAGCAATTTAAACAAAGTTTTGAGCATTATGCTGTTTGTCATTTTTTCTTTAAATGTAGCAACAATTGCAATGCGTAGTGGTGCATACATTTGAAACATTTGGAGCCTTGGGATAGTGCATTCAAGGTGATGTGGCAAAAAGATGTTGACAACCAAACACCTTTCGGTTGTACAGGCACTGTAAAAATGCTAATTAACTTCCTATGACATTGTGCACAGATACTGCTTGGCAAAGGTCACGATCTGCTTTTCAGCATTGTCACTTAGTATTGACCTTACTGTGCTGCACGATATCGACCACCCAAAAAAAGCACCTTACTGGCAAAGTTAATTTAATTTGCAGTGAATATTGGATAAATTCACTACTGATAAGGATATTTGTCAATTATAGTTCACCACGACATAACTTCATGGTTAACTGTTGATGACAAAAAAGTAGATCATAACTGCCATTACCAAATGACAATTCATTATGAATTTTTTACAGCCTAAGCTGTTATGAGCTCAAAACAAATAAGCGACGTAGTAGTCCACAGCTGCCACATGTGTCTGTCAAAGCTACGTGTGAGAAAAAGTCGATGTGGGATTGAAATGCAGGCACTCTGCATGGCAGTTAAGTACTCTAGCACAAAGCAACACCGGTGCTTGAAACTGCCCAGTAGAAATAGCCTATACAGACATGTCAACTCGGGAATGTCATGTTGACAAACGTAATATTGCACGGGCCGGACAGCATGAAATCGCACTTGGCATCACACCGTGTGACTTGCTTAACGAGTGTGTGGCTTGAAGTTTCCCACCCATTGCGAAAAATTCGGCCATATGCATCATCAGCCACAGCGTAAACAAAGAGTGCTATGTAGGTGTGTGTGTTGCCAAAAAGTGCTATGCAGTGCGTATGTTGTAAAATGATGAATTAAGATGCAGTAGGAACTTCTCCAATTTGCGAATAGGCCACGGTATATAGTGTAGTGGGTATATTGTAGTTGTAATGAAAACTAACAAACAGAAGGCCAGGAAAAGAACAGGGGATGTTAATTGTAGCAATTATGATGTAAATCTGAACAGAGTATAATGAACTGAAAGATAGCTGGGAGGGACCAAACCCGTAACCTTTGAATACCACATCCCATGCTCTTCGAACGTGTTATTTGAAAGCCATAAGTTCCTTCCCTACCAGTGGCAAGCTATCTTTTTGTGTACTTTATCCTCTTCACACTTACATCATAGTGCCTTTCTTGTCCATTAGTTCTCATTAATGTTGTGCTTCACATAAAGAAATGTGCGCTTGGAATTTTTCTTCTATACTTGTAGTATAATCGGTCAGTGCTTGTCCTGTGAGATTGGTCTTCATTGTCTTCACGTGGTTTTTCGCAGCTTTCATCTCAGATACTATGAACCATGACTGCTAGATAAAAAAGGGGCCAGCAGCCGTGCTATGAACAAATTTGTCCACCAGGAAACTACGTTACTTATACTTGTGATGGTCACTAGGAGAGAGCTCACAATGGGCTTTTGAAAGGTTGCTCCCTCAGCTATCGCTGTGCCCATAAGGAGGCGAACTCACTCGCGAGTTGACTCGCTCGTACTGACTCACACTCAGATCGAGCTGCGAGTCCAAGTGAGTCCAGGAGATTTTTTGGAAAGTTTCAGTCCAAGTGAGTATGGTTGAAGGAAATTGTAGCAAGCTAGTGGTAGCAAGCTAGTGGTAAACGTTTTTCTGGCAAGTGTAAGTCCGACTCAACAGAAGTTTTGGTGAGCGTCAGTTGGAGAAAGTCCAAAGCACAAGATATTAATGCAATAGCATTAAAGAGCTCATTTTGCGAAAATTCCAGCATCGCCGTTAGTGTCGGTTGTGAGTGAAAAATCATCTTATGCGTGACCAACAAATCGAGAATGATGCAAATAAAATAAATAAATGATAAAAAATCCTGGAGCAGAGTGTGCATCGAACCAGTGCTGTTTGGGTTCAAGTGGGGATAGAACACAAGTCGTTTGCATGGCAAGCGGATGTTCTACCTTAGGCCATGCCTCTGCTTGTTAAAACAGTGAAAAAAACTTACGGTAGCGTTTGGCACGAAATGAAGACGAGAGATGGACAAGCCCTTGTCCATCTCTCGTCTTTGTTTCACGTTAAAAAAGCTACCGTAAGAATGAACCAACTCGCCCAACAAGTCACTTTACTGAAGAACTTCCTCTGCTTGGAATGCAGTGAAAGTAGCTCTCATGCTTCACTAACACATGCGTCCTCTATACATGCTTCACAATGCAACATGAAATATTGCAGTAATAACACGTGGTACAAGCGTCCATTGCCAATGGGCGTCGGAGTATGCGATTATTATAATGGCTCCGCGGTTAAAAGCCGGCACCCCACTACAAAAGGCACACAGGCTACTGTGCCTATTCCCTTAAGGCCACGTAGCGGGTGCATAGCAATTTCAAAAAGGTTTCATGCACTAAGTGTTTAAAGTACAGGTGCCCTAAAGGCGAAGCATTAGGGTCCCCTAATTTTTATTTCTTGAGCGAGTCCCACTTCTTTTTGCGACCTATGGTGATATCTACTCATCTTCAGCATTACTATCAGCCTCACCTAGTTTAATGGTATACTCACGTCTATTCGCATGTATTTTAAAGATTTGCGCACCCCTACGATGTCTTCTTGAGCATGAATGATGGGCACTTTTAACGAATGAAGGAATGAAGCCATTCTATAGCCAAAAACAATTGGTTTATTTCACTGCACAGACTAGAAGGTGATACACAGGGTTTCCTCGAGAGAAAAAAAAAGAACAAATTTGCTTGCTACTATATAAAGTGAGAGAATGTTGCAAGAGGGAGCAACAGACCAAAGGAGGAACAGGCACTCCGAAAGTTTAAAAAAATTTTTGTGTTTCTAAAGTTTGCAGCAACAACTCGACTTGTTCGCGAGGGCAACAACACTGCCGTCTTGCAAGTTCAGACTGAAACAGCGATTATACTCAACTGCTTTCATAGTGTGCACTAGTCTTGTACAGTTACACACCCGGCACTGAAACGATATAGGAGAACAAGCAACTCTGGCAATACGGCATACGCCAGTGAAGAGGAAAAGTTACACTCAACAAACACCAATGACTGTTCTTAGGTGTGCAGAAGACAAATGAAATAAGAAAAGAAGAAGGCACAGACAATGCAGACAAGCCATCTTGTTCTGTTCTTTTTTTCTTTCTAGCCGCTTTTCCGTGTCTTCCAACTGTCGTGCCTTCCCTCACATGATGCCATCTATTCCCTGTTGTGAAGTCCAGAATTCGAAGAACAACCTGGTTGGCATTTCCTCTAGAACACTTTGTAGGTGGCTCCTAGCAATCATGTGTCACTTCAACTGCAAATATGCCTCATCCACGTTTCTTACAGAGGGCTGCCAACTTGTTCTATCTTTTATTATTTTTCTTCCTTTAATATCCTAACTGGCATCGACAAAGCGTATCCTAGGCCTAAGCTCCCTGAAAACAATCGCTGGTCCCTAGCTAGATAAGTCATATGCAGGCACCAAACGAATACATGGAACACATGCCACCATTTTTTTAAGATAAACGTGCCAGCCACGAACCCGCAGCGCTTGGGTTTCCACTGCACAGAACAACGCATTGCGACAGGAGCCAGACGATGCACTACCTCCACCCTTACAACTTGAACTGCCATGATCCGACTATTCTGCAACGCGAAAAAGTGAAGAACACGCATGCGCCCGACATTTCGTACCATGCTTGGCAGCAGCAAAACGAGATAGAGGGCGTGATGGTAGATGATCTGCAATCTGGTTCTTGCGCAAATAAAAAAAAAGAAAACAAGGAGCCGTCCGTGACACGGTGGGCTCGACAGTTCTAGCTGAATCCAGGGGTGACGGCCATGCCCAGACGGCTGGCCACCTTGCCCTGTGCGGCGGCGGCGTCTCTCAAGGACAGCAAGTGGGCCAGCTCGGCTTCGGTCTGGGCGAGTGAGATGGCCTTCTCGAATAGCTCCAGGCCCTCCTTCAGGAAGCCCCTGCGGTCGCACAAAAACGCGGCTATGCAGAAACGACAACAATTCACAGATTTACACCCAAACAAGACTATGCCAGGAAATGAGCCAGGAGATCTGGAAATATCTGAATGGGAATGGGCCATTAATTAGGAGAGAGTTTCAGGCAGCACACACGTAAAGTGGCTTACTAAACTTGAGTTCTTTCATATGCTCGTCTTACTTGGTGTAGCTCTTGAGGACAAGCCCAGCCAATGAGGTCTTCTATGACTGGATGTCCTCCAGTGATTAGTTATTCACACTGCTAGTGTGCAAAGGAATGAAAGGAGTGCAAATCCACAAACACTGAACAGTCAAGCATTGATAGAAGGAATAAAGATATATTGAGCATGAGCTCGAGCACTGGAAGCGCTTGAGCAGACTGTTGTGCTTAGAGGAGTGGTGGCAGAAAATTTGTGCACCTCTGTTTTTTGCTCTCAATCAGTGGCTACTGACTCATTAATAGCAGCAAGAAAACTCACTTGCCCCAGCGCGAGACAAATGTTTAATTATGTCTTGCGACCTGAGGCAGTTTCGAATTACAAAAAACCCTCGGAGCCCTATGGCGCAGTCTGCCTACTTGTCGACGAATACTATCATGTGACCACAAAAGCCAGTGATGTCACTGGCCAGCTTCTGTTATGTTGTCAGGGCTGCTGTTTCATCTGCTGCACTGAGCGCTGCAAGTGCTTATTTTGTCGATCATCAAACTATGTTACTTATCCGGCTTGAATAAGAACAAAGGAGTGAAATCAGTTGAAAATCAGTCGAAAAAGCTTGATTTGGTTTGAGAATCATGACTGTGGCTTCAGTTTTGTTGTTCTTGTCGTGCCACAGAGGTGTCGTTTCTTGCGAGGCTTGGAGCAGTGGCAGAAGTACGTGTCCTGAAAAATTTTCACTCCGCCCATTTGTAAAGTAGCAGGCTGTGAAGTGACAAAGGGAGCAGTAAAATTACCACACTGGCACTCTGTAACAGTGTGCAGGTATAACATGTGAGTGGCGTATTGTACGCTTTACTGACTTCTAATGACACTGAAACCTCGATAAAGAACCCAGATATAACAAAATATTGATAATAACCAAGTAAACCCAAATAGTCTTGCAATAAATATTGTGTTGAGAATGTACTTTTATGAATAATTTTTGGATTAACGAACTTCTTTTGCGTAGGATGCAATGTTGTTATAATAAGACTTGAGTGTAGAATAGGAGAGCTGCATCCTAAAAGCATACCAATCCCCCGAATGCACATTGGAGTGCCGATGCAGTTACCAGTCCACTATGCAGTACAATCCCAGCACTAGACAGAGAGCTTTAGTTGGTCTGCAGGCTTTCTAACGTTTGCAGATACAGTCAAACCTCATTATAACGAAGATGAAGGGGGTAGTAATTACTTTGTTATCGTCATTAGTTAGGTATAGCCAATATTCATTTGTACTGACAATTAGCCAGTAAGAGAGAATGTACTTGCCATCGAATATCATAGCTGCCCTTCGCGCAGAGAACAACGGTCGTTGGAAGGCAAAAAACTAGCAAAATAATAAAGAACAATGCACTTCAGCACACAAGCTGACAGATCACTTCGAAGAAAAATAGTCTTCAATAGATTTTCACGGACTCTTCCTCACGCGGATGACTGCTTTTTCAGCTGCAGCAGCTATTTCAAGTCCGTCCTCGCCGTCATCGTGAGCACCAAAGAAGCGGCAAAGTAGGTCTGTCGCAGTAGGTCTGTCGCGGCACAGTGTGGGCGTTGGTACGTTGGGTTCGCCAACATTAGGCTCCGGGGTGTCGACAGCAACATTCGTTGCTGTCGTCATGCACGCCTGTCACCACGGGCACAATTCCGCATCTGACAACTCTTTGGTTGTCACCGTGTCTGCATTGGCGCCAACTTGCATGCAGAAAGTGTTGCAGCCAGGCACAACGCCGGCGTCAAAGAGAGCGTCCCACAACGCCTGGACCTGGTTTGCCCACGGTACCCACACGTCGCCGAAATCTTTGGCCACTTTTTTTTTTCTTGATGACAGACTAAAGGACTTTCAACATTGCCGACTTCTGCTCGATTGTTATATTTTTGACCATAAGTTTGCCGTTGCCATTGCCCATCTCGTGTCTAGCGGCAGAAACTGATAAAGGTGGTGTTGCTCTGCCACAGCAAATGACAAAGAAGAAAGCCACAATCTTCACCGCCCCAGCAGCGCGCGAGGCCCCAGCGCGGAGCTGAAGGGGAGAAGGAGGTCAGATGCGCGTGGGAGTCAACAAGTTCTACAGGAAAGGGGAGGCCGGCTGATGCGCACGCTCGCGCGAGATGCTGCGCGGGCGAGTCCGTTAGTTCCAAAGAAGAAGGGAAGCGGGGAGACTCGGTCCCACACGCGTGTTGGCAAGCGGCTCCCAGGAAGCGCAAGGCGCGAGCTTTTAATTACCGCGGCCGTGATGAGACTTAAACCGTCGCGCACCCTATAAGATATTGAGAATTGACGAATATCAAAATGATCAGTAAATGCTCATTGTGGACGAAAAATGGTTCGTTATATCCATTGTTGGGAAATTTTCACTTCGTTAAAAAGAGGTTATACATGGGCATCTATCAGAATTTCAAGGGGAATTATAATTGCTTTGTTATATCCATTAGTTCATTATATCATACTTCGTTATAACGAGGTTTTACTGTATCGAGTAACCAGCCGCTGACGGCTGCTACTGCAGCAACAGTGGAATCGGTAGCGACCTCTTGTGACATTTTGTTCAACTACGATATTTTGAAAAAAACGTTTTTACCGCTTTCCTGTTCTTGTCGAAAAAAAAAAAAAACAAAACAAAAAACAATGAAGATACTGTGAGTTAATAATTACCCCAAAGCCATTGCTGTACAGAGTCTGTAAGCAGCTGAGTAATGCAATGTCATTTTTGTGGATCTTTGGTTAGGCTCTGCATTATCAGGTGCCGCTACAAATGTTGTTGATCTTGCACACGTCTCCGATATCTCGGCCAAAACTCATGACGTACAAGGCACCTGCAAAATGACCTCACAGTTTTTTGCTTCTAGTATTTCAGAGTCAGTGCTTTAACAAACATCATAACTCAAAGTACTGTTACGCTGTATTTGTGGCTTATAGTGTACAGATGGCACCTATATGTTCACATCAAAGTGATGTAACCATCAAGTGGTGTCCAAATTTTGGTGTTACAACTCTTTCAAGAGGCAAACTGAATCATGTGACAGTGCTTTACACTCGGCAAAACTTGCATGGCTTGGATTGAGCTGTCTATTTGTATGGCATATGTTGCATGTTTTTGTATAAAGTCACCAGACGTCCTGATTTAGATCGGACATGCCTCTCTTTTGCTGCCAGAGCTGCTGCCTCGCCAACCTTTGGGAAAATGTGGCATAAGTTCCTAACATGCAAGAACAGTGTTTTCTGACTAGGAAATTCCCATTTCCCGGGAAATTTTGGTGGCTATGGTAACTCATTTTTTTTTGCCTTGAAGTTTCGCCGTCACCCCAACAGGTATCTGCTCTTGTCAGCAAACTGATGGGTGCGCAGAATTGATATTTCCTCTTATACTTTATCTGATATGTTACATCTAGCGAGTGTCCTGACATGAGTATATAATTTACACCGTAGTTTATGGTTACGATCTGCTGGCTTGATTTGATTGATGACGCAAAGTACAGATGGCCAATGTGACCTCCATTTTTCGCTGAAATGGACGCACCTGAGACAATTTTGAGGCTAGTCGGGCATTTCGGTTCAGCGTGGTGTAATTTCTGAAAATGTCATGGTTCTGATGTGCTCGGCCTAACAATGGGAAACTATATAAAATTGGCAGAATTGGCACAGCTACTGCACCCTTGGCTCATTTGACATCAAGAACATACACCCACCTCTGGACCTGAACAGAACCGAGGGTCTCGTAGGCAAACTGACACTTTTCGTCCATGCTGATAGCCTTGTACATGAATTCGGCTGCCTTCTCAAAATCCTGCGTCCACTGTAGGTGCAGTATGCTGGAACGGAAACAGTCACAAACCTTATTTGTAAAAAACATGTTCTGCCAGGCCAAGTAGAAGTAAACAATTGCAGTAACCAACAAAGAAGACTGTCAAAAAAAAACAAAAAAAAACAGACAACTTCTGTGAAGACAAAAATTAGAACGCACTACAAGTACACACTTTTAAAGCAGGTAATACCGGCAATGGCAACAGTATTTGCTGATGGCATTGATGACGAAGATTTAAGAGTTTCAATATTTGACCTTTGTGTTCGCATTTTTATTATTTTTTTCTAGTTATGCTGTTTTCATCATATTCAAGAAAACCAAAACACTTTTTCAGAACTCTTTACTAGCGAACATAATATAACCTGATAGGAGTAGAATTGGCAAGCGGCTTTTCCTTGCATCATCATTATGCAATTTCGGACTGTACGTTCGGTAATACTATTAAAAGGACACTTAAGAAAAACATTATTTTCCGCGTTAAAATTACCATTTCACAAAACCAAAAACAGTCGGCTTGTGGGAATATTCAATAGCTTTAATATTCCAATAAGTATTACAGTATATATTCAATTTTGCTCCAATTTGAATATAAAACATTATCCAAAAAGAACAAATAGGTGCATATTAATAGACATGAACCCTTATAGAGTGGTTTCACTGCAGCGGAGGGGTACTAAGCCGTGAAAGTACCTGTTCAGATGTAACTTAATTCACATCTAAGCTTTTTGAACAAGTTTTCACTGCAGTGAAGGAGTGTTAAGCCGTGAAAACAGCTATCCAGGGGAAATCCACACTGCCACAAAGTTTCACTTCAAGGTTGATTGAACATCTTATCCTCGCATCGATTAATCATTTTTTATGTTTAAAACCTTGTTATCCAAGTTTACGTGCTAACAGTACAGTAAATTTTAATACACAACATATTTTACATGTTACAACTTTCATTGTACTGAAGGTCAGACCCTTCTATTAAAGACGATAGTCTTTCTTGGGGACCTTCGACGAAAAAATTTTGGTCTGTCTGTCTGTACATTTTTCTGTTTGTCTGCCCTAACGATACCTCAAACGGCATTAACGGCCAACCCTATCGGCAGCGCCTACCAATATTGCTCAAGGTTTAGCGTTTATAGTTCTGCGATTGTCAATTAAAAAAGCAAATATTGCACGTATCCTAGGCGCTATAACAACACGTCTATGTTTTGTATGTCTGCCTTTATACTAAAAGAGGCACACACAAGTAACTCTAAGGACTGGAGCGTTTATCGCGCTGCGCTGACAGTGCAACCAGATGTTCAAGAAGGTGTTCCCAACGCTTTGCTACGACGACACAGTGGTGGCACCTGCTTGTCGCTTTGCATTTTACACCTTATCACCTCCGAGACTGGCGTGCATCTTTCTCCGTGGCCATGCGCGACTTCGTTTTTGAAGATAACTGCCAGATGGCGCTTGTGGCTAACGTGCCTAGATGCGCTTGTTCGCCTCCGCTGCACGCTCGAGGCACTCTAACGCCTTCAGAATACCAATAACCGATTTTCTGGCGCAGAACATAAACGTTTTGTTCACTCTCTCCAGACGCAAGACTCTTGTCTTTCGACGACATTTACAGTGTAACATGTAGATTCGGGCCAATTTTTATGTAAAGTTTCTACTTCCCTTGAACAAAAAAAAAAAATGGCATTTGCTCAGGCCTAGTTTCAGATTAAAACATAAATATATATATTGTGCAGGGCAAAAGAAGGCATATTCAAGAAGGCACATTTAATGCTACATTGTGCAGGTTAGTTAGGTCATGAAAAATATGCCCATTTGTTTTTAGTATGTGATATATAACATAGTAAAAGCTCGTTTGTCTGAATCTTGGTAACTCAAAAATTCGTTAACGCGGACTCGTGGCACAGTCCTGGCAAAACTGTGTATACTTCAATGGCATCAAATGCTCGTTAATATAGAGGTATTTAGATGCACACCGGTTAACTTGGACAATTCCGGAGAGAGCTATAGGAACTCCATAACTGCAGTTTTGGAGAAACCGAAACCGAACGATTAGCAGCAGAATATGATCATGATGATAGTGAATAAAGAGAGAAAAGGCCAGGTGGTGCTAGTCACCACCCAGCGGAAGCGCTTGGGTCGCCGGTGCATCTAGTGTCTGCGAAATGCGCCACATGTGCATTGGCGCACAGGACAGGACAGTTTGCGCAGCCACTGCCACCCGAGCTGCTGGCTACACCTACGCTGCCGATTTCTTTTGTGTTGTGACTTCGTGCGTAGTGTGTGCAGCTCGGGCACGTTGTCTTCTCGAGCCGCTCTTTGTGCACGTTGATGATGGTGTGGCCGTTACTAGTTTGCTGACTGACGATGACATCAAATGGGAAGTGCTTGAAGAGGATCAGAATCACTGCTTCGATGACGACATCCAAGATGAGCCAACACGACAACGCACCATGCAGGAGGCTGCTGAAGCCCTCGCTGTTCTTGAGCAGTTCTACTCGGATCTTGCGAGAGCGAGTGTGCACATCGCCACCTCATGGGGTCGAAGAAGATCGTAATACTGCAGTACGAATTCCAATGACGAGGCAGACAAAGGTGACGCAGTTTTTCATGAAATACAGGTTTATATTTATCGAGTACATTTTCCTTTTGTATTGATGGTCCATTCAATAATCCGAAATTCGGTCAACTCGGACATTTTCACCAGTCCCATGTGATAAGGGTCAACAAAGTTTTACTGTATTTGAATTTGATTTGAAACCGTTTGACCAACAACACCATTTGCTACGAACCTGAAATTCCGTATTCGCTAAAGCCTAAAAAATGCGCATCAAGAACATGAAGGTGGCAACGCCGCCCTGAAATTTCCACACCAACTCGCTATGGTGCTAAAGATTTTGACAGTGTTTATTATGGTGTAGTACATAGTTTTTAATGAGCAAACATTAAGTACTTTGTCCTCTACGGGGATGAGAGGCTCAATGTACAAAGTTTCATGAATTTCAATAACGCAATGTAGCAGGGAAAAAAAATAAACGTTTTGAAATCTTTTACATCAAAGACAGGGTGAGCACCTGTCCTGTCTTCGTGTTCCTTCGTGCTCCTGTCTGGTCGTGATTTTGGTTTTGGCCAACAGGATTCCGGTGGCCGTTCTTAATCTCCCAGTGAAAGATGCCTTTACTTTGAACTCACAAAAGATGGATATGTGATTGATATAAACCTCGCCGCCTTTGCTCTAGCGGTGCTGGAAAGCCAAATTTTAGATACAAGTCTGAACAGTTTTCCTTATATTGAGCTTGTGCTACCACTTTGTACGTAACTGATGGTTCATTTTGTTGTCATGCATACCGATTAAGGGGGGACATGGGACCTGGTAGTGAAATATATTAGTATTAGGCTTAGAGACATGATTTTTCAGTGAATATTTGGCTTTGTACACTGATTAAATATATTTTCTTTACATCAATTCGAAAAAAAACTTACAACTATTTTTATTTTATGAGTTGGGATGCGACTTGCATAAAAAGTAATGCATCAAAAGAGCTATATTTAAACATGTATATTACTGAATATTCGAATAGTGCAAATATACAAATTCATGCTAGTATCTAAATTTTACCCAAAGTTATGAATGTTTTATGTCGCAGTCTCTTAGCTCTGAATTTTCACTGGTGATTTCTGGAAAATTTCAAAATTTTACAATGCCCTTAAACATTTTATGAAGGTTTTCTTGTACACTTCTATACCCTAGCATTCAAACAAAAAAGAAAAGATCAAGAAAATTGTATCAGTATTAGAAACACAGTGCTCATCCCAAAATCAAAAACATGCAAAAATCTGTATTTGCGAAAAATGCAAAATGCTGAAAAAGTTGTGAAAATGAAAATTTCATGCATGAAAGCCACAGCACTTTTATTCATAATCACTCAGAAAGCCCCAGCGGAGTAGTCTGAAGTAGGCTTTTGCTTGTGCTTCCTTCTTTGCGGCTGCCTGGAACGCTGCTGAAGATGCATGTTTCCTCTCCGAGCCGACGGCACGGCGATAGTCTTTCTCAATTGCCCGCTGGTTACCTGTGCATGTTTGATCTAGCTGCAGTTCACGCAAAATAAGCGAACTAGATTCCTTGTTCCCTAAGTTTAAACGCATAACAGCTTCTGCCATGGCAGTCTCAACGGCAAACAATGACGCGTTCTTGTCCTTTAGTGAGAGGCTTCAAATGACCGAATGCAAGGCCTTATTCGCATTCTGCATCTTCCCTCTGGTGCATCTCTGCAGGAGCTTCTTGCCAGACAAGCATTCATAAACAGGACGCAGTGCATTGCTCACAGCCTCTGGCGAATTGTACTTGCTTTTTTGGATGGGCTCATTTTTTTGCCATGGCTGCATTATGCTTGCATCAAGACTCGGGGGCTGTGTGGACAGAAGCTGTGGTTTGATTTCTCGTCAGTGGATGTCACATGATGATATATAGCCCACACAGCCTTGTGCATCTCATCCACATTCCCAGAATGGAATTTCAAAACCCAGCCGTAATAACTCGTCAACATTGTGATGAGGTCACCCGTGAGGCAGCCCTTGCCACTGATGCGCTCGCTGCTGTCCCCTTTGTGCTTCTGCACGAGGTTCCGAAGCGCAATCCCCATGCGCTTCTGCACATGGTTCGAGCAGTCTTCTTTTTCAACATTTATGAGCCGTACACCTTAGCTTCTTTGACAGCACTGAACGACCGGCTGTCACCATCACAAACCATGGTGGTGTACCTGAGGCCATGAAACGAAAGGGAGCGCTGAAATAAAATCATTGCTGCCTCTACTTCCATTTGGCCAGCCTTGCATGAGGTATTTTTCTGGCATGAATGTTTAGCTTTTCATTCAGAGTACTCTTGGCTCTCGGGTTTTGGACCACATTCACAGCCGAGGCAAAAATTAGAAAGCACAACATAGTCTACCACATAACCTAAAAAAACTTCTATCACAGTGGCTATTCCAATGTGAGGGGTGTCCTCTTGTGTGCCAGCTTCCATCAAAAGAGATGGCAATATTTCCGGGGTTGCCGAAATTGAGGTCCTTGTAGAGGCACTTTACCACTGTGGCACACTTCGTCAAATGTTCGGCACAAGCTCTCGTTGCTGCTGGCTAAAGCTTCATTTTCAAGTACTCTTGGTACGTTTTCGTGTGAAGGCCCCGATGTGAAACACCGATAGCGGCGAACACGTCATTCAGAGCTGTCTGACCATTCCAGTCCAGTGCTCTGAACGGCACGTGCCGTGCGAACGTTGATTTTGAATGCGTTGCAGTTACTGCTGCCACCAACCCGTCGCGAGCTCCATTTCGAACCAACTTCTCCGCAGTTGCTGCAGTGAAGCTCCAGCACAGCTACCCCGTACTCACGCGCGTCGCGTTCGATGGTCAACTGACCACAGCACACTCGGCAAGCAGAATGTTTGCTTAGTAAACTGTTCACCGTGTCGAGGTCAACCATGGTATACGTCGAGGTTGATGAACTTTCGGTGCCGTGCTGACTCGCGAGAACACTCAGTTTCGCGATCGGTTGCCGAGACCGAGGCAAGTTCCACTGCTTTTTGCTGGGCGCGACGCTCGATGAGTTCTCGGTCAGCCGATGTCAAAAATGTCGTGTCTATCCTCACAGCTTGATCGCACATACTTGGAAGTACTGCAGGCAGCGGTCACAGTCGCCGCTACGCTTTCTCCGGCTATGAGATCTGCTGCAGCAGCATTCTCTGCTGTCTTAATCACAAGCGGCAGCATTGTTGCCTGGCGCCTTGTTGAGGTATCACGACAATCAGCTGATTCCGACAGCACCGTGGTCGCCGTCGTGATCGCTTGTGTTGCAACGCCGCTTCGTCGCGGAATCCGTTGCGCTCTTCCGCCGAGATCTGCAGATATCTTCGTCGGCAGTTGCGATGATTTATGGCACTCTGAGCGTGTGTCGCCACTGGTAGAAGTTGTAGCGATTGAAGGCTGCCTTTGTGTTGGGCTGCTGCATCGCAGCGACTGTTGGTCTCCTGCCTCGCTCGGCTCTGCCGACGTAGCCTGCGCTGGCTGCGATGACTCCTTGGGCTGCACAGCACATTTTTTCCGTTGCTTGCTGAATTTGTGAAGTGTGCAAAACTTTCGAGCACAGTTCGGCAACTAGATTTCGATCGCGAAACTACAAAACTTCCGAAATTGTGGTGACAACGCGTGTGTTTGCGGCCACGTGCGCGTGATCACCCGTGTTGTCAGTCCCCGCGCCTCCAATCACAAGCCGCTGTTCACTCATGTGACTGCCATGGATCAATGATACCACCCGATTCTGTCACTTTTATTTGTCTGGTAGCGCAGACTGGCTGCAGCATTGAAGGTTCGTTCCTGGCGGGAAAGCGAGCTCAACAGAAGCTCTTTCAAACGAGACTAAGATGGCCGCGATTTGATGAGTGGTTAACGCGATCCGAGCAACGCAAAAGAGCTGTCTTTGGTGATTTCGTAAGCGAAACCAAGTGCTGGAATGAATAAACACGACATTTTTTGGCTCAACGACGCGTCATTTCGAGTTCATTTTTTTGCTGGCAGGTGAGGAATGATATGAAGATAACGAAAATCACCAAATTGAAAAATAAATATTTTTGGCGTTTTTTTGTCGCCAAGACACGCGTCCCCCCTTAAGCACAACATTAACATTCTAAAACAATCACGCTACTGATTTGTCAAGGTATCTCACAGAATGTTGTCCCAAAACATTTGTAAGCAGAGAGAGATAGACTTACCCAAGATGTACTGGTACGTTCGGATCCGTAGGATCTGCCTTCTGAGCCTTTAGAAAGTTCTCTTCTGCTTTCTCAAACTCCTTGTTCTCTGAAAGGATCTGCACAAATGCAGAGAAAAAATAAAAATAAAATTGTTTTAAAATGCGAGTGATGTACATATCGAACACATGATGTCCTAAACTGTGTCACACCTCAACTCAGTTTTCTACTTACAAGGTGACTCTGTGGAAGCTAAGAAACTAGTCCGATCATGAGAGGCTTTTTTTTTATAAAAGGGCAAGGAGTGCCGTTCTTCGCAACCTGCAATGTTTTCTGCTGAGAATTGATGCATGTGCTTCAGAGTGTTTGTTGCAGAGCAGATTTCCCCTGAATAGGTGGTTTCATAGCATAGCAGCTACAAGCTGCAGCCATGAGGAAGGGTCCAAATGGGATCCGAGACATCGCGTTTTTCTCATTTTAATGTAAAAAGAACTCTTACTTTTAATGAATATGTCCGTCGTTGCTCCTTTTCCAATGTTAATATATGTTTATTACTAGTCCCGCCGCGGTGGTCTAGTGGCTAAAGTACTCGGCTACTGACCCGCAGGGCGCGGGTTCGAATCCCGGCTGCGGCGGCTGCATTTCCGATGGAGGCGGAAATGTTGTAGGCCCGTGTGCTCAGATTTGGGTGCACGTTAAAGAACCTCAGGTGGTCAAAATTTTCGGAGCCCTCCACTACGGCGTCTCTCATAATCATATCGTGGTTTTGGAACGTTAAACCCCACAAATCAATTAATGTTTATTACTAAAAGGAGAATACTTCAAAATTTTGACTAATTTGAAATTGTGTCAAAATATGCCTACATAATTATTCTAGCATTTGAAGAGCTCAAACTTTTGCAGATGCGCCATAATGCAGATGCAGATGCGCGATAAACCAACACGTTGTATTCTAGTCGGAACACCCTGGCACGTGCTAGCGTGTTCGGGCTTGCGTAAGTGGCTTTGTAAGAGCCGTGGTATGCAAATGCGGTGTGCACACCCGTGCTGTTTCGCATCGCCTCATGGTGTCCTTTAGTGGGAGACGGTGTAATTTGTTTGGCCACTATTACCCATTCAAATGGCAATGTAGGTTCCTCTTGGTTTAGTCAGGTTTGGTCTAGTTGCAAGTCACTAGCAATAAAAAAAAGGCTTTTGAACGGTTAACCAACTTTTACAGCTACTGAAAATTGCATCGGAAAACAAGATGAACTGCAAAGAAAATAAATGTTCCTTTTTATGAAGCAAATTTTGGCTACTGTCCTATCTTACGACTGACCACATAAAAATGCCACAGTTTTTTTTTAGAGCAACTGATCAACATTACATCTAGGTGTGTTTCATTTTCGTGCTTCAAAATACCGAAGAATTGGGTGCACATTAGAATTGGGTAGTATCCACCGACAGCAAATGACAATCGCAAAATCATGCCGGACTAACAAACAGCAGGGCACCGGAAGTGCTTAGCAAGCACATTCCAGGTTCGGAAGTAGGGCAAGCTCTAAAACAAACGGGGAGTCCTTCTCACCTGAGCATGAAGGAAGTAGCACTCGGGGCAGTTGGGAAACATCTGTTGGACCTTTTCAAAGTCCTGCAGTGCCTCCATCTGTTTGTTGGCATCCTTGGTGGCTGCCCCATACCTGTACTGCACGTAACAGCGCTGAGCCGCTGCCGATGGGAAGTCCGGTCGGAGTGACACGCTCCGCTCCATGTCCTGCGCACCACACCGCAATATTTGTTAAAAAAATCGAGAGAACAATTTTGCTAGCCATTGCGTTAGAAGAACTCACATTGATTAAACCTCTGGACACAAAGGTGCGGTAATAGTCATCTTGAAAACATCACAGAAACACAAGGACGAAGAAAGTAACAGTGGGACAGGAGCCTTCTCGATGTACAGTGGGTAGGCTTGTGCGAATAGTGAATTTTCGGTTCGAAGCGAATTCGAAGCGAATAGTGATTTTGATCCAATAATTTCTAATAAAATTCCAATGGTATATATGACTTATAAAAAAAGGGAATATTTATCATGACCTAGCTACATGCACAATATTTCTTTTGAATTGAAATAGGGGCTCAATGCAAATGCCATTTTTTTTTTGTTCAAAGGAAGTCAAAACAACCTTGAGTAGTATTTTGGGTAGGATGCGAGTGATAACCTGTAAGATACTTAATGTTTTAAAATTTATTATACTCGGATCATGTAAACCATCATAACAAGCTTAATAAAATAAAGAGTTGATTTGAGGGTAACATGTTCCATTAAAGGGGCCCTGCAACACTTTTTCAAGTAGCTATGGAGCCAGTAAACGGGCTTGCTGCCTCACAAATTTACCGCCGCAAAGTTTCTAGAATCAGTTCAGTACGAGCGGAGTTCCAGGCATGCTGCAATTGCATTCTCTCTTCTTGTCCCGACAAAATAGCTGGAAATTAAGCAGGGAGGAAAGGCATGGCGAAAGAAAATACGTCACATGCACCTCGTGACCTTGAACACCTCTTTTTCTTTTCTTTCTTCGAATACGCGGCTTTTCAGTGTGATCGCGCATGAACTCATGGACAAGCGGCGGCCCCGGCAACGATGAGCACACCATGCTGAAATCAGCCAATGGCTGTGACCAGAGTCGTATATTCCTCCTTGGCTGTGACAAGTGATTTCTGAGCTTGTAGTGTCATTTGCTGAAAAAAGAAAGCAATGTGTAGCTTTGAAAATTTATTGTGAATTACAGTTTACTTGCTGCGCTATAATATTTGCCTCGCGTGTTCTCGGTAGCCTCGACTGTCGATCGGCAGCGTTTTCTAACTATGTTCAGTAAGTGTTGCAGGGCCCCATTAAATTTGAAGAGGGACTTCACGGCAAAGCGAATTTTCCTTGAATTAGTACTTTCACTGTTTAGCACACCTATGTTGCAGTGAAACCACCTTTACAGGCTGTAACATGCGGATTAGTACAGTTAAACCTGCTTATAACGAACCTTTATATAACGAATTCCTCGATATAACGAAGTTTTTCTATTCCCCGCCATTGCTTCATAGAAGCACATGTATTTTCAACTTCTATGCAACAAAGTAACAGCGGGAGACAACCTTGATCTAACGAATTTTCCCCATCTAGGAATTTTGCTCTGCATTTTGGCATTTTGGTACGAGTGTGCATCTTCCGCGGCTGCCCCGTCGTCGACAAAGCGCGAAGCGGCGGCGGCACGCACGGTGCACCAGGTCGCTCTCACCATCCCGCTTGCACGGGTGTGGGCAGGCGGGCGTGCACCCCGCGAGCCGACATTGCCGCCGTTCTCGCAGCCGCATGTGCCCCCTTTCTCCCAACTGAAAAAAAAAAAAAAAAAAAAAAAAACACAACTACTTTTGCGCATTTTCAGTGCCACACGTTTAGTTAGCGTCACATATCTGAGGCTGCGTTGCCTATGATGGGCGCTTTACCAAATAGTTTTGTGCGGCATCTGTGTTCGTGTCGTTCGCTCTTCGTTTTCGACACCATGCGCACGTGCATAGTTTCACCAAGCGCGCATAGTGTAGCCTCGCCGACGTTTAGCTTTGTTTTTTTTTATTGCGAAAGCAATTACATGGACAGTCTCCGCTGAATTTTTTTGCCGCCGCCACCGCCACCGCCATTCACTGCGCGTGCGTACACACACACATATATATACATACAGTTAAACCTCGTTAAAACAAGATGGGCTATAACGAAATAATGGATATAACGAGCAAAACCTAATTCCCCTTTAATGTCCCCATACAAACCAATGTATTCAAAACCACGTTTTAACGAGGCAAAATTTGCCTGTTATGGTATATAACGAACAAATTTTGTTGGGAAGTAAAAATTTGAGCCGATGTCGCGACAGTGCTCAACGCGAATTTGAGACGGCGCGCAACGCGAGAACTGTATTTATCAGTTCAAAACTCCTGCCACGTGCCCTCCAGCAACGCGCGCAAAGCAGACGGCACGCGTTGTTTAAAAAAGAGAGGTCGCTGCACGTGCGCCGCTTGGCTACCACCGACAACGGAACGCTCCGCAGCTCCGCGAACGTCTCGCCCTTTTCTTTTCTTTTGTGTCTTCTTTATATTCTCCCTCTCCCCTTTCTCATGGCACTGAGGCGCGCTTTCTAATCTTACATACCCCCTTCCCCTTGAGTAACCGGTTCCTAGAGGGCAGCGTAAAAGAGCGCCCCCTTCTCCCCTTCCTCTTCACAGTCACTTTCTCTGCAAGTGTTGTCGCTCGCCGACGTGAGCCGCATTGCTTTTGCGTGCGTGTTTCTTCTCTTTTTCAACTGCTTCAGCCTTATCTTTTCTCGTGCTGCGCTCGTGATTCCAGCAACATGAATGCGCCAGGCTGGAAGCGAAAGCGCATAACACTAGATCAGAAGGCGGCTATGATAAGAGCCGTCGAATCGGGGACCAAGAAAGGCAACGTGGCAAGAGACTTTGGCGTATCGACGAGCACACTGTCAACCATCTTGAGCAAGCAGGAGTCCATCATCGACGCTGTTGCACGTGGCGTGAAAGGAAGCGCTAAGAGGATGAGGGCACCTGCCTTTGAAGCGGTCGAAAGGGCCGTTTTTAAATGGTTCTTGGACACGCGGGCTGTGAATCTGCCGGTGAGCGGCGCCTTGCTGCAAAGAAAAGCGAGAGACTTTGCCTGCATCATGGGCTATGACAACTTCGTAGCAAGTTCGGGTTGGCTCCAACGCTTCAAGGAGCGCCACGACATTGTCGGGAGAGCGGTCTGCGGCGAATCGCAAACTGTCGACGAAGCAGAGGCTACCAAGTGGGCGAAAGAAAACATTGTGCGGCTGCTAGAAAAATGCAGCGCGGAGGATATTTTTAACGCGGACGAAACCGCTCTCTTTTTCAAGATGTTGCCGCAAAAGAAGTTAGCACTCATAGGCGAGCCGTGCCATGGCGGCAAACAAAGTAAGCTGCGGATCACTGCGCTACTTTGTGCAAACATGGCCGGCTCTGAGAAGCTGCCAATTTTCGTAATTGGCAAAAGTGCATCCCCTCGCTGCTTTAAGAGGAAGAGGCAGCTCCCAGTCAAGTACGTAGCCAATTGCAAAGCCTGGATGACCAGGGAGATTTTTTCAAAATGGCTTTGCGAATGGGACGAGAAGCTGGCAAAGGCGAACCGCAAGGTGTGCCTTGTTTTAGATAACTGCACCGCCCACCATACCGCTGCCGTGCTTCAAAACATCGAGCTGCTGTTCCTTCCTGCCAACTGCACAGCGAAAATACAGCCGCTTGACCAAGGCGTGATTATGTCGCTGAAGGCAGGTTACCGCAAGCGTGTGATAGACAAGCTCCTGCTCAACATGAGGATGAAGCGAGACACCGATGTTGACTTGTATGCTGCGCTCGAAATGCTTCAGGCGGCGTGGATGAGTGTGACGGCGACCATGATCGCAAACTGCTTTCGACACGCCTCGTTTGCCGCCGCACCAGACGCCAGTGATGAGCCATCAGACGAGCCCACTGTGCCGGACGGTTTTGCCACATCAGACGAAGTCGCTGCATCACAAACGGCACTTCGTGACGCCGGTGTCGTGCCTGACAGCGAGTCATTTTGCGACTATGTGAGTGCGGGCTCGGAAGTGGTGGCAACGGAGCAGCTCCTGGATGACGATATTGTGCGCCCTGTCAGTGATCGTAACGAAACCAGTGACGATGACTCTGTCGACGAACAGGAGACAAATGTGCCGACGGCGTCGGAGGCATTAGACGCGGTGGACGTACTGCGCCGCTACTTCGGCGCTCACGAGGGCAGCGAAGATGGCTTGAACATTGCGGCCGCAGCTGAGCGAGCCATCGTTCGCATCAGGAAGATGCATCAACGTCCAATTACGGACTTCTTTGCAGCTAAGTCTGCCTGAAATGCAAGCTGTGTATTTTGAAGAGCATTAAAACAGGTGCATGACTTTTTCCTTTTTATTTGGGAATGCGGTTATTTTGTTGCATACCACCGTGCGGCGGGATGCTATTTTGCCCGCTATTTTTTTGGGGTAAGTACAGTGCATAACATTTGCGGTAAATGCCAGCTACGGCTATAACGAAATATTGGTTATAACGAGCAAATAGCGGTGGCCCTCCAATTTCGTTATAACAAGGTAAGTGTAGTATATATAAATATAAATATATATATATATATATATATATATATATATATATATATATATATATATATATATATGTGAAAAATCAAAAGAGAAATAAAAAGCCGCTCGCGCTCGGCGCCCTGTAGCTCGTCATAATGATGCGGCGACGCGCGTTTATCTCTCACGTGTACTTTGCCCCGCGAGGGGGGGGGAGAGAATTAGATGCGTGTGCGCGCGCGCTTATCCTTCGGTGGGGAAAATCGCGCGCCTTCGACTTTGACCGGAATGATTGCATTTAGTTGCCGGGCGCACAAAGATCTCTTTGCTCGCTGGGCAAGTGCCGTTTGCAAAAGAGTGTGCTTTTCAAACGCAGCGAAGTAACAACTGGGGCACTTGTTAGCTCGTACTCATACCTGTACCTGTGATTATGTTTTGTGCCTTAGTTTTGTTTAAACAGCCCGTTAAGTGTCGAGCAGTAAACATCGTTAGTTCGTTCTCGTCCTGTGCGTGTTGTTTTTGTGCGTCATTTGTGCGTGAGTAGCGCGCTGCACGTTTCGATCTGCTTGCGTTTTCAGCGTTACATTCCAAGTTATCGCATTAATTGCTGCAGCCTTGCAGGGAAAGTGACTTTTCTTAATTTCGGATAACCGTGTTCTCACCACCGTGGGGATGTCAGATTAGGTGCTCATGGAAACTCTTGGAGACCACGATGACGATAGATTTCGGAGGTCGGCTTGTCACGCGCTTCCGTTTTGCGCCGCGCCGCGAGTTCGCAGGCTGGTAGCTTTCGTGATTAATTGATTAGCTCTGGCAACATGACGGTGAATTGAATGCGATGCAATGAACACGAGAGCAAAAAATTGTAATGTTACAAGAAAGCTGGCAACCAACTTTTTTGGATCCGATGTCACGGAACTCGTACAAAACGTTGGTGCGAGCGAATACGGCCGCTCCAGAGAGAAGTGCTCTTTTCACACAGTCTTTTTGCGTTGAAACAGCACAGATACACGTTCAGATAGTATTATTGCTACTGGAGCGGTCCCCCCTCCCCCCACGCGTTGTTTCGAGCTTGTTCAATACGGGTGGTTTACTTTCTGCTTGAGCATTCGAAGGTAGTTCTAACATGCGGGAGATGTTATCTTACGCACTTTCCAGGCGATAGGGATGGACCCACTCTTTTGATCTCTGCTTCAGCAGCACCCGTGGGCTTTTACCCGCTCTTGAAAAATACGATGCGTGGGGGCATGTTATCACTTTAGACTTGTTACAGAACATGGCGGCGACAGCAAAAACCCGCCAAGAGTGTTCATACAATTGCTATCGTAATAATAATACGGTTTTTTAGTGTAAATTAGGCGTTTTGAGTAAGCTCTACCTTTAGTCCCCCTTTTGTTTATTTTGTGCGTTTATTCAAATTTTAGTGCCGAACCTGCACAAAACGAAATCTTCTTTATTATGAATTTTCCCGGAAATTTATCAGTTTCATTATATCCAGGTTTAACTGTATACACCTATTCGTTCGTTGCGAATACTTCGAAAATATTCGATAATTTAAATTTGAATCGAAGTGAATTCGAATACCCAATTATTCGTTCAAATATTTGAAGCATTCAAATATTTGCACAAGCCTAACGATGGGAACAGTCACGTCATGCAAGAAACCCTAAAAACGCAGCACTACTACTATTGTGCTATCTTTGAATTGCATGCATTGGTAGCACAAAGCTCACAAACCCTTCTTTCCTCAATGCACCATCACTTTTCCATTGGCAATCTACCCTTTTCATACAATTTATTAGAAGGTAATGGGAAGGTAACAGTGCTAACGTTACTTTTTGCCCACACAGTAAAACGTCCACCTAAGATTCTTGCAACTGCAGTGGCATCTACGACAGTGCGCAAGTATGTCCCCCAAACTCTATTTTAAAATGTGACATCATCGTCCTATAATATCTACAGTACGGCACGAATTCAATGAGCCTTGAAATAAAGCAGCAGCAAGCTGGTACGCTGATCATTGCATTGGATGTCTGTTGTAAAAAAATGCATAGATGCTTGACTGATGACCTCTGCTCCCTTCTATGATAATGATACATAGCACAATGAAAGTTTTTATTTTAAGTTTAACATTTACTAGTAGCTGTGAAACATAGGTGGAAGGAGGCTCTTGCTGTTATGCCCGCTTTGATGAAGGCTTGGTGCTGCTCATTCAAAGCATATCCACGAGGTGACTGATGACGAGTGGGGCGAAGCGGACGGATGGACGCACGAACGGACACTTTGTCCAACTCACCCTCACTCACTCCGTGGATATGCTTGACACCCCAATGCAATGCAACTGGCTACTATGACAACTGCGACGACATGGGACGAATGACCCACAGCAAAAGGCGCTTCGTCCCTAAAAGCTCAATCGCTATTTCAGCATGGCATGGTGCAAAGAACAGCTGTTGGCAGTGCCGCATGCTGCTGATATAAGAGAAAAATTTTTTTGTTGAATTGTGCTGCTGACCCTCGCAATTCCACGACATCCAACTTTTTGCTTCTTTGTATGGCACCTGCCACCAAAAATCCCATCTTTTAAGTGACTGCAACCTGATCTTCACAGTTGTGTAAATTATATTTGATTCAATAGAAATAGCAGTCATGCCGACACTGTGGAATAAGGGCGTCGACAAAGCATATATAAACATCCTGGAAGAAATCTACAGGGGATCAACTGCTACCATAGTGCTTCATAAAGAAAGCAACAGAACACCAATTACGAAGGGTGTAAACCAGGCGGATACAATCTCACCAATGCTATTTGCAGTGTGCTTACAGAGGTTTTCAGCGGCCTAGAATGGGAACAGTTAGGGACAAGAGTTAATGGAGAGCACCCCAGTAACCTGCGTTTCGCCGATGACATTGCATTGCTGAGTAACTCAGGGGACGAATCGCAACTCATTATTACGGAGTTTGACAAGGAGAGCAGAAAAGTAGGTCTTAAAATTAATCTGCAGAAAACGAAAGTAATGTACAACAACCTCGGAAGAAAACAGCACTTCGAGGTAGGCAGCAGTGCACTTGAAGTTGTAAAAAACTACGCCTACTTAGGACCGCTAATAACCGCGGAGGCGAACCACGAGATTGAAGTAACTAGAAGAGTAATAACAGGCTGGAGTACATTAGGCAAGCACTCTCAAATGATGACTGGTAGATTTCCATCATCCCTCAAGTGGAGGGTACTTACAGCTACATATCACTGGTACATAACTATAGAACAGTAACATGGGGGTTTACATAGAGGGTTCAGCTTAAATTTAAGATGATGCCAAGCACAATGGAAAGGAAAATAATAGTCGTAACCTTAAGAGACAAAAATATAGCAGAGTGGATCAGGGAACAAACCGGGGTTAAGGATATTATAGTTGAAATCAAAAAGAAGAAATGGACATGGGCCGGGCACGTATCACACAGACAGGATAACCGCGAGCAGTAATAATCAGTTGTTGCTTGGCTGCCTTGCGATAATCGTCAAAGAACAAGTGAATACTACAAGGTGCCCATCACTTGCCTCCTTTTTCTGGCATGCTTGCAGCACTGAGCTTACATGCGGGCACTCGCAAGGCATGCATAGGGTCACAGAAATGCACTTTTTTCTTTTAAAACAATTTTTATAGATACTTTGAACTGTCAGCACAGGCTCTTCAACAGGACACAATAAGGATTAAAAGTGACATTGAAAAATGCAAAATTCACATAAATTTGCACATAATGACATGAAAGTTATGCTACTTTATCCATGTATCTAACAATGCAATAAGCACAGTAGTACACACAATGTTGTTTCTTGTTCAAATAAAAGTAAATTTCTATTGTGTGTTCTTTAAATAACTATCATAAAGAATTTAGCTTTGCAATAGCAAAAAACATCCATAAAGTACACGTGTAGTGGTACCCCCTTTTACATGCAAATACTGCTAACAACTTCCGAATGACGGAACAAAACATCTTGCAGATCTCACGTACCGTGGAAATCAAAACTATACGAAGCATCAAGAAGTTTGTCATGTGGCACTTTCAATAAAATGAGCATAACAGTACAAGGCGGATGGATGTAGCATTCAGTAAACATATGTAGAAGTTGTATACGCACTTACGTATGTACTAGTAAATATGCAAATGTGAGAACTAGTTGTTCATAATTTGCATTCGGTTTTTCATCTTTGCGTTTGTTGAGTCTGTGCTGCCAATGTTAGTTTCTACCCTCACATATAAATTAGTAATGCCGGTCCTTGCCATTCCAAGGTAGATATAAACTGTCAATCACCTGCAACGCTTACCCACTTACCAAGGCCCATGATATGTAAATATGAGCTACATGTGGCAGGAAGAAATGGTTTAATGATGCATACGACAGAATTTTTGCGTTATTAATATAGTGACCAGCAAATCATATTCCTCTAACCCCATACCAATTTTAATTTATGCGAAGTTAAGGACGCGATCACGAGAGCGCCCAGGCGCAGGCCACTAGATAGGTAGATGGACACATAGATAGAAATGCTTCAAGGTTCTCGCAGTTCACGAAGAAATGCTTTCCATTTAAAACCCCCACGACATGGAGCTCTTTCACAGTCATTGTTTCCAAGATACTTGAGCAGGCTTTCATTCATAGCTTTATGCTGCTCGACAATGCGTGACAATCTTTTTTCCCCCCTCATTGTCTTTTAATTACCAATGTAACTTAGTGGAACTTGTTGCTGGCTTACTAGGTACGTAACTTTCAGAAAAACAGATGCCTCAGCACCTAGAAAAATCTGTGGGAGGGTGAGATCTTGCGTGTCTTAGCATATACTAAGTATGTGTATGTACAGTACAAAAAAGCGAAGATAAGAAAAGGCACATAAACGATGTGGACAGCCGCCGTGCAAACAGCATCAGTCTAGCAGTTTATGCCCGTTGTTTGTTTCTTCACACTGTACGTACTTGGAATATATCAAGCCTAAAAACCGCCAGCAGAAAGAAGAAGAAACAAGAAAACAGCGTCTGTTCTTGTGCTTCTTGCTTCGGCTGGTGGCGCTTAGGCGCCTAGGTTTCTCTCGCAGTTACAGAGTGCTGGCAGCCATGCCATGCGACGAGGTGAGGAAGTATCTACCTTGAGGGTGTCCTCTAGCCTGTCCAGAAGTAGCAACACTTGTCCCCGATGCAGAAACACGTCGGCATTGCTCGGATCCTGGCTGGCTGCCTTCTCAAAGTCCTCGAGTGCTTCTTCCAGTTTCTCAGCGTGCACCTTCAGAGTGCCAAGCTTGATTAGAGCATTCACTCGAACCTGCGGGAAGAAATACAAAAAGAAACTGTGAGACATTCCAGTCTGTCGAGGTGGACAACCAGCGAAGCAGTTCAGCACTCCACACAAAGGCTCACGCACAAGGCCCATTCCGCATCAAAGGCCCTGCTGTAAATGTGCTCATCAATGTTGAAATTACTGTGCAGAGTCTACCACCCTGGAACATCGACGATACTAGCTGAAAGCTTTTAGCATTTCATGTTTAATATACATGTCTATAAGTGGCTGTACATAGATACTGGTTCCATTTGTTTAATAGCCAAGCTCCCCCGTGTGGACAAAATCTTGTTTTTTTTATGAGTGGGTATCACAGCAACACAGAATGTGCAAAAGCCAGCTTGCAAAAGCCAAGCTTAAACTGATCCTCCTAAAAAAAGACTTCCTTTCTAAACACACATACAGACATTTCCCAGTGGCAATATAAGCTATACTACATCAAATGATGAAGACCCTTTTTATTATTTCATTAACTGCTTGCTGTTGCTCCAAGCCATGCGCATGTCCTGACAGAGTTCAGAAACAGCAGCTCTATGTTTCCTTTTATCGCATTACGGCGTGTATGACTATTGTTGTCTCAAGGAGCAAGAGAAAACTGGACCTTTTGCACACTAACTTTCTGCACAGGGTTGACATGAAACCCCAGATCCTAGTTACAGTAGACTCTCAGTAAACGGAACCTGAAAGAACCGGGAAAATGTGCTCTATTCTACAAGAGTTCTGTTTACTGAGAGGTGAACATGGGTGCATAATGCAAGCCCAAAATCAAGCATTGCAGAGGCAGTAGTTGTTTAAGCAGTGGTTCTGTTTAACAGATTTCTGTTTCCTGAGAGTCTACTGTATATTATAGTCCTTCAATAACTTTTCTGGTCACAAAACTGCCATCTCAGCATGATATATAACTATCGTGGCCACTAGGGAAGCCACAGTAAGAGAAAGGCTACTCAGCAGAACGGCCGCTGCAAGCCTCACTTTTATTAAACATTTATTTATTTATTTATTTATTGTACCCTCAGGTCCCGAGGGCATTACAGAGGGGAGAGGAGATATACATAACGGAAGCAATATAAAACAGCAAGGAAAAAAAACGCACAGCAGATAAGTAAGTGAAATAAAGTAGGCATAAATGACAATTCGATAAGGAAAAAGGTATACTAACAATATTAAGCATATATATACACACATATATGTATACATATATACAAACATATATATACACACAAACATTTAGAGAAGATCAACAGTTTTACGAAACATATCATTATCAGTTATATAAGCGATATCATGGGGAAGATCATTCCAACTGACACAAGTTCTGGGTACGAATGAGTCATGAAAACATTTGGTGTGACATGATGGAACTCAAGCTTTATTATAGTATTTCGTCATAGCAATTATACCAACTGAACTTGGAACTAGTCAGAATGCTTTCTTATTGAAGACAAACAGTAAGCAATCTCAAATTAAGCTGGAGATCCAGTATGCAACCAGGCAAGGTGCGTAAATTAAAAAAAAAGCAGCTTTAATGTTACTGTCATGCGCTGCACACAAAATGAGACATTACGAGTTACCGTTAAAAGCACATTTAAATAGAACAATGAATAGGTTTATATTATTAAACTGTTTTCTGAATAGTCTAATGTCATTAGTTTTATAATTATAAGCTGATTATTAGAAGTCAAGGTCGCAGCATTATTAAAAAAAAAATTCTATATTTCGTAACAAAATCTGCACATGTGACATTATTACAAAATTCAGTGGTTCTTGTCGTCGTATTTTTAAGACATTGGCTAGACAAATTTTTCTAAAACTTGGTACGTTGAGTTCATGGGCTCATCAGCAGACAATCTGGTTTGTTTTTACCTATAAGGAGCTACATTAGCCTTAGTAAACACTGTCAAAATTTATAATGTCATGGGGCTTGTTGCAGGAATTTCAAGGAGGCGTGCCTACCGCATTCTCTTTTTGCACGTTTTCTTGCTTACTTCTCATGAAGAGCGCAGTGATATTGAATTGTGAAAGGGTAATTTACCCAAAACAGAAAAATCCTTTTTTCCTCTTTAGTGCCCCTTTGAATGCACTACGACCTGAGCTCAAGGTCCCTAACTTTCAAGTGCACACGTCTTGTTCCACCGGTGGTTACAGTCTAATATTACATAATAGAAAATTTCTGCTTTCGTTTAGCAGTGATTTGTTTATAACAGTTACATCGGCAGGTCGTAACCATTAATGAAAAAATTGCTTGGTGGGTACTGTTGTAGTTTTTGGGCCTCGAAAGCATTGTGAGTTTTAATGCATATAAATCCAACTGTGTGACAGTTTTTTAATGTGATATTTATTGAAAATATTTTTTAAAAAAACACGAAGATTAATACTTTTCTATGAGTTCGCACTGGGCTTTTTTATCTCCATTTCTCAGGAGCAGGGCAACGGCAATTACATTCAATGCTGTACTTCCTTAGCGAAACATGCAGGCTTCTTAATAGAATTGTAATCACAACCTTTCTTTAAAGTAAATGAAGCTATGCAAATGCTTATGAGAAATAACAAGTAATTATTCCTTTTACTTAGCATTGGGATAGTAAGCTCTTGCATCTTTCTTTTTTGTTTTGTTACAATAAGAAGCTAATTGGTAACTTATCCCAGCTGGAAACCATTTTTGCACACAGTGGCTCTAGAAGTCATTTCACTGGTGTGGTCACAACTTGTAATTTGTAAAGTAGGCTGCCAAGTCGAGGAACACACGAAAAACGGCGTTAGGCCTGTGGTGCAGCTTGTCTCGTCGTTTATTGTCAAATCGTCTATATTATAAATGTTTATTGTCTCGACTAATTAAATCACCTTGCCCACACACGGTTCAAATGCTGAGGTTTTTTGTTTTTGTCACGTTATGGCTCATTTACACGTATCGAACTGCTCATGTACAGTGAAGTGCTGCGCTGCTAAGCGTGTGAATAAAGGTGCGATTCCCAGCATGGAGGAAGGAAAATGTTAGGAGGGAGCATCGCAACATGCAATAGAAAAAAATAAAGACAGAAAGAAAGAGAAGTACAGTTGAACACGGATATATCGAACTCAAAGGAGATTGCGAATTAGTTCGATATATGAAAAATTTGATGAAAGAAACAGAGGCCCCGAGAGCTTACCTGTGGCGGATCATCACCTACAATAGGCGCATTGAAGATTGACAACTAATTCTGCACACATGCCGCAACAAAATGATTTATTTGCGTGAAAAAAAATCGCTTATCTTGGCCTGCTTCTTTGTTTTCGAAATGATGTTGAAGACGCTAGTCTCGATCTTATTAAGGCTGCCCAGGTGCAACAGTCCTGCTCCATCCATGTTGCCGAACTCCAGCGGCAGAGTACGCGTGTGCAGCCAACGCCTCGTCTGGACGATTCTCCTCATTACTGGAGCTGTCAGCCTGGGCATGCTGGGTCCCTGCAACCGCAGCTTCTATGTGCTCATCACTGAGGCTCGCAACAGCCTGGACGTTGCAGTCCGCTTCCATGAAGTCATCCGCAGACACGTCGTGTGGAACTGCTGCTGGGAAGCGGGACGACAACTCGCGAAGCGCGCCTTGTATGCGCTCGTCGTCCTCTTCACTGGCTTCCGCAAGTTACGCTGTCTTGAAGCCTGCTTTGCGGAAATAGTTGACCACTGTGTTCATTTTCACGTCTCGCCAGGCATTGAAGATCTCAGTGTGAGAAAACTTATGCGGAGATTTCTGGCCACTTCATCATCCACAGCTGGATGTCCTGGCAGCTGACAGCTTTGCTTTCGCCGGAAGTGGCCACCCGGTGTTGTCGGCCAAATTGTTTCACCGAGTGCAGCGGCAAACAATTTGGCCTTGGCAATCAGCATCGGGCCATCCACCGAATGTTTTCGCGCGCAGTTCTAAAAGCCAGGCCTTTTCTACATTCCCGCACATATGACAGGCTCCGGATGTTCGCTGCTTTGTTGCCTTTTCCATGATATCTGCTTTGTTGATCAACAAGGTACTCAGAGTGCTCCGTGGTATCCTGAAGTCGCCCGCGATGTTCAAACATTTCTCGCCCGCCTCAACACGCTGAATAGCCTTCAACTTCGTCGCAGAGTCAAGGGTCTTGTGCTTCTTGATTCTGGCCATAGCTACACGAGAAGTTGACAATTCAAAGAGTTTGCAACGGCTTTGCCCACCACGCACGCAAAAGAGAATTGCTGCACATGCGATGGTACATAAAAGACGCGACAACAGAAGCAAAGCGCTTGCGCGGCGATGGCCATCTGCGAGGGCAGGAGCAAAAGGCACGAGCTGTGGTTGGCTGATCAAACCTCACAAAACGGCAACAAAAAAATAAAAGAAAAGGCGAGAGGAGGAGGAGGTCGGCTCCTTCGTTCCTGCTCTCCGAGCCTATGGGTACGTGGAAAAAGCATGAGAAAGAGAGATCGATTGATTTGTGGGGTTTAACGTCCCAAAACCACCAAATGATTATGAGAGACGACGTAGTGGAGGGCTCCGGAAATTTAGACCACATGGGGTTCTTTAACGTGCACCCAAATCTGAGCACACGGGCCTACAACATTTCCGCCTCCATCGGAAATGCAGCCGCTGCAGCCGGGATTTGAACCCGCGACCTGCGGGTCAGCAGCCGAGTACCTTAGCCACTAGACCACCGCGGCGGGCCCATGAGAAAGAGAGAGAGGAACGAAAAAAGCCGTTCCTCAAGTTAGAGGTTGTGCAGTCCGAGCCCTTACCTTTTTTTTTTTTTTTAGGGGCGAAGCTCCTTAGGGCGTGGGCTGTGCATCCCCTGTATGTAGACACCTCTAGTTTAGTTCTTGCAGTGTTCACTAGATGGCGGTACCGTCCCCTGTATGTAGCCACCTCTAGTTTAGTTCTTGCAGTGTTCACTAGATGGCGGTACCGTCCCCTGTATGTAGCCACCTCTCGTTTAGTTCTTGTAGTGTTTACTAGATGGTGGTACTTGTAGCTGATGATGAAAAGATGCAAGATGTTATAAACTAGAAAGCGGTACTTGTAGTTGATGAAAGACGCGAGATATTATAAAATAGGAATGATGTCACATATGGCGCGTGTCATTGGTTGAAGGCAATCGTTCGATTTAGTGCGACGACGTACGCTAGGGGGAGCGATGCAATAAAATCGAGTGGGCAAAATGTACAGAGGATTCATGGTTTACCAGGTTTACCTCCGGAGCTTCGCCCACTCATCATCATTCACTTCGTGGATATGGCGGCACTTTTTTGAGCGTTCCGTGTTTTGACGAAGGCGTGGTGTCACGCGGAGGTCGCCGGGCGTGCGAGTGCCAAAGCGGCTTTCCAACTCGCGCGTAGAGCCGCGCTGCCGAGGAAATCGCAGGGCGCGGCGAGTGCCGAAGCGCACCTTCCAGCTCGCACGGCGTTCAATATATATACGAAGGCGAATAAAAGTACTGTGCGATATAAATGAGCGAATTTCTATTCGAAGACAGGTAAAAATATTGTTCGATAAAAACGTGCGAATTTCTATACTTTTACAAAGTAATTTCAAGGGGTAACTTACAAGTTCGATATAGCCGAAAATTCTATATATGCGGGTTCGATATAACCGTGTCCGACTGTAGTATATAAGGCATATAAGGTACGTAGATGCCAAGCATCACACTCTTAGTTTAAAAAGCTCCCAAACTTCGACAATTTTTTGTAAAGAATTAGACTTTAGAAATACCCTGCACACCGATATTCGCACCTCACGTACCCCCCCTTCCCCCCCCATGTGTTTCCAGTGAACAAGGGCAGTAGTGTCATCGCAAAATACTTTATTTGTCCAAAGGCTCACCTTCAGGGAGGCCGAGTCCATTTGGAGCACCCGGTTGAGGTCGTCGACCGTAGACTGTGACAAGCCCTGCAGCATGTGCAGCGTGCCCCGCAGCAGCAGTGCTTCGGCAAGGGCCTCTCCTTCGTTTTCAATCTCCTTGGTGCAGTGTTCGATGACCTCTTCGTACTTTTCCTTGGCCAGGCACTCCACCGCCTGTGCATAGGCACTACTGCCAGAGAAGCAAACCTGCCAATCAGCCCTCCAATGATTAGGGAAAATTTAGATTTTTCTTGCATTCAACCAGGTACCGTAAAAACGGTGCCAATGGGCATTCAAAGCTCATACTGGCTAAACAAATTGCCTGATTTCACAACCCGAAAATACGTCGTGAATTCAAGAGGCACTACTGCGGAAGGCTGAATATTAATGCCGCAACCTGGGGTTTCCTGCCACTAATCAAAATCAATATATGCACGAGTGTCGTTGCATCTAAATATGGCTGCCACGACCATGATTGACCAAGTAACATTGAGCCCACCAGGAAATGACTACAGAACAGTAGCACATAAAAACATAGAAAATTAGGCTCCCTGCCACACCTTCGACAAATGAGAAAATATCTGCTAGTTAAACAGTACCATAAAATAATTGCCAAGCCTGCACGGAATGCGCAGAAATGTCACAGCAAAAGCCTTGATAGCGGCCTTTCAAAGCCCTTTTTAAACAATCTTTGGGTAATTGCTACAACCACACTTGCAGAGTATCCGATAACGCCATAAATCATCGTAATTCTTGTGTATTAGGCAGGCATTCACTATGCTACACCTCGTCATTCTTTGAAGAAGCATGACACCCGCTACACACTTGCAAGAAATTTTGCTGCAATTTTTTTATGCTGTGGCTGACGACGATGAAGAATTATGCTTGAAGCTTCTGTAATGGGTTGGAGCATTTGATGACCCACTCGTTATGTAATTTGCATTGTGCGACACCTGGCTGATGTTTTGCTGTACTAAAACGATTCAACTCTCGCCCATAATACTAACGTAATTTCTTTCCTGACATCCAGCCTGTCTAATTCCAGTTTGCAATGAAGTTTCAAGCAGCAACAAAGTTCTGCGGTAAAACACTGGGCTGGCACGCAGGGGACCTGGGTTCGAAACCCATTGTGTCCTTGGTGATTTTATTTAGCAAGTTTCTTTTTTAATTCGTACGATAGTGGTTAAAGACACCAGTGGCGGCGACGGCAAACAACTACAGTGCACGCTACCCTTGTTGTGATCCCATAACAGCGTCTTCTGTAATAGTCGCACAAATATGGTGGGCTTGTAATCTGCCAGCACAGGCTCATTTTGATGGTTTACCGCACGCCCCTTTCATTGGCGGTTTCATTCCAGGAAGCTGAACATTCAAGCATCCAATTCTGTTGCTGCATAGGGCCATTAATGTCATACCGGCTTAAAGTATGAATCCGATGGTCAGCTGCCAGCTCGTAATGAAATCACACGCTATGTGACGCTGACAGGAAGAAAAAAAAAAGTGTTCCACACTCGCCAGCATGGCTAATAGTGGCATTAACATTCTAAGGTTTAGATACACATACATACCTCATCAATGTGAGTGAAGAAGTGACAGCCGCTGTAGCTCAGTGGTACAACATCAGATGCAATATTTGAAGGTTGCAGGTTCGGTCCCCCTGCCGGCAGCAAATTATCTTTTCACCGGCTTTGCTTTGTTCACATTTACATTACAATTACTGCTGCCAATAATATCTCCCATACAGTAGACTCTCACTAAACAAAACCTGAAGATACCAAGAAAACATGTTTTACTTAACAGGAGTGCAGTTTACTAAGAGATGAACAAGGATACAGAATACAAGCACAAAACAGATCTTGTCAGAAACACTTGTTCTGTTTAAGCAGCAGTTCCATTTAAGAAATCTTTGCTTACTGAAAGTCTATTGCACTTTCTTTGGCATCATTGTCTGTCAGTTCTAATAATGATGAGCACAAAATTAATGTTGTGCATTTAGAGTTCTTCAATGTGCACCCAATGCTTCGTAAGGAGATGTTTCTCTCATTTCACTGCCAATGGCACACGTGTCCAGTGGCCGGGAGCCGAACCCGCAACCGTGCACTTAAAGGCGAAACGGCGGTAAAACAGAACTCACCCGGGACTGTCACTCGTAAGAAAGGGCTTGCCTTCCCGATGTGCCTGCACAGCCTTTACTACGGGATCTTCACAGAAGGAGATGAAGTAGTTTCTAATGAAGTGCTTTGACGGCAGCATGGGCTTTCGGACCTGGGCAAAAAAAGTAATAGTGCAGGTATCATAATAGAAGCCGTAATGGAAGGCAATAGAAATTTCGATTATCCAGTGTTTTATAACGTGCACCGACATGGCAAAGTAGACGGGCCTCTACCATTTCACTTTCATCGAAATGCGACCACCGCGGCTGGGATCAAACTCGTGACCTTTGACCAGTAGCTGAGCACCGTAGTCGCTGTTCCATCAAGGTGGACTGACAAAGCAGGTCTCAGTTAACTTACAGGAAGCCTATTCTACAACTTTTAAACTTATCGCAAGTATACTATATCTGACAAATTAAAAAAGGTTCAACTAAGACGCTTAATTTCCGAGATGCCTGTATCACTATTCTCTGTCCTATTGCTAAAAACCTTGCTCCATTTTGTGGGCTACGGCATAATGATTTAGCCATTATATGTACGAGCAATACTGCTTAATATAAATGATTTGCACAGGAAGCAACACTGCAGTACAAACACATAAAAGCTTCAGAACAATGGGAGTTAACTGTAAGCCTTGAAAAGCACATGCATGTGTAGTGCACAGCTTGCCAGGAAACACACTTCAAATTGATACAGGCATCACGTACACTTGGTTACTTGCATTGCAATCTGAAATTTGCATGCGCTGACATCAAGAAGCTGGCATACCTAAAATGTGTGCAACAGAAGCTCAAGTACTTGACATCCATTCGGCACCCATCGCAATCATACCTCACAGATGAAATCAAAGCAGTGAAAAACCGTGCAGCGCATTTTATATCATCCCAATGCTCACCATACATTAGCATAACTGCCTTGAAACGCACCCAACCACTTCCAGTCCTTGAATCACATCGCATAATTGCTCGTCTTTGCCTGCTCCATTTCTTCTTTTATTAGTCACCCACAGGACATACGCCTCTTATTCCACATGTATGAACATCATCTAGATTGGCTCACACATATCCCATTGCACACATAAGTGGTCGCACAGCGACGATGAATAACTCCTTTTTCCCACACGCAATCACCTTATGGAACACGCTACCTAATGCCATTGCTTCCTGTTCAGATCGAGGAAAATTTTGCGAGAAACTAACCTGACATTTTGTCCAGCAATGGGTGCCTACCATAACATGACGAATTGTTTTGTGTATGCAATGCTAAATTTATTTCTCTTTTCCTTTCTTTTTGCTACTAATTACAGTTATTTTACCTTTGCGAAACCTGTGCATCACCATTTTTTTTCTAATATGCGCCTACCAAAAGATGTTGAATTTTCTTTGTGTACGTACCCGATGCTACAGTTATTTGTTCTTTATTTTGTTTGATTTGTTTGTTACCAATTATTGTATTATACTGTTTGCTGTATTATATATACATTGTATTGTATTATACTGTTATGCCTTTGGGCACTTAAGGTGTGATAAACTGAATGAAATGAAATGTGAATTGTTGATTAAACATGCTAAATTGGCAGAATGGTCAATGAAAAACATAGTAATGAGAGCTCCAGATCGATTCTGCCAACTTGCACTGCTTTAGGACAAATATTGCAGGCTATGTTGAAGGCTTGTTTCAATTTCCGAAACTATAAACGGGCCTCATCTATAAACTGCAATTTTTAATTATAGGGGCTATGTCAAAAAGATGGAAAAAGAAGAAAGGAAAGCAACAGTTCTCAGAACCAAAGTTAAAAATAAATCCCCCTTTGACACTTGCTTTGAAATCACACAAAACCCAAAAATGCAGAGAAAACTTATATAAGACTAAGGCTCGTATTCACAGACGAACCTTATCCTTATCTTGCATCTTCTTTATCAGTCTTGTGCCTTAAGTTTGTTTGATAAACAATATTTGCCGGTGATCACAAACCAATCTTGCAGTTATCTTTCACCCTGCTGCGGTTTTTGTACTCTAATAGCACATGCCAAGCGTGCAGGAACTTAAGGAAAACATGGGATAAGGATAAGGTTAGTTTGTGAAAACGACTCTAAGTGATCTGAACTTTAGTGACACCAGCTGTTAATGACTTCTGCACAATTCAGGATATCCATCAAGAGTAGCATTACCAATCAGTATTACTCTAATACAAGAGTCTTCAAATGAAAGCAACTACGGTGCAATATACACATAATGGTAAATGTTTTCCCCATTGTTCGTACCCTTGTTAAGTCTTCTTCTAAGATGAGGGCAGAGTGGGTCAGGGAATACACCGTGGTTAAGGATATCATAGTTAAAAATGAAAGAAGAAATGGACATGGGCTGGGCACGTAGCACGTAGATAGGACAACCGCTGGTCCTTAAGGGTAACTGAATGGATGCCCAGAGATTGCAAGCGCATGAAGGGGAGACAGAAAGTCAGATGGGCCAAGAAGATTAAAAAGTTTGCAGGGATAACGTGGCAGCAGAAAGCACAAGACCAGGTTGATCGGTGGATCATGGGAGAGGCCTTTGCCCTGCAGTGGGCGTAGTCAAACTGATGATGATGGTGATGATGATGTTAGGTCCTGTAGTGGCTTTCATTACGGGTTAGTGAGAAATGCATTGTTGTGCCATATTCAATGTTGGTGCTAAAAAAAGTTTTTAAAGAACCTTCTCAAAGTCTGGCAAATTTTGTTTTATCGGATGCAAAATGTGAAAAGACCGGCTTTACTAAAACATTTATTATGCTTAAACCACTTGCCTCCTTCTAGACAAATTCTGGGTGTCTGGGGGAAAACTAGTTTCGTTTTTACTTCTTTTCTAGCTGACCAAGGTGACATGGTACAACTGCAGCTTACGTAGTATCGTAGAAGTGGAGTTTAGCGGAGATCAACTTGCGAATATGTTTGGAGTGTACTCAATATACATCACCATAAAGAAATGAGTCCTTGGTATGTGGGGTTTAACGTCCCAAAACCAGCATATGATCATGAGAGACGCCGTGGCGGAGGGCTCCGAAAATTTCGACCATCTGGTGTTCTTTAACGTGCGCCCAAATCTGAGCACACGGGCCTACAACATTTCGCCTCCATCGGAAATGCAGCCGCCACAGCCGGCATTCAAACCCGCAACTTGCGGGTCAGCAGCTGAGTACTTTAGCCACTAGACCACCGCGGCGGGGCCAAAATGAGTCCTTCATAACAACATCATGGTTTTAGGCCGTAAAATACGGACGACCACTTGCAATTATACCATGAAAAAATACTGCTGAACACTGGCATGGCAAGTTATCACTCCTAGCAAACTTGATAGGCACTTCAGTTAGCCATGCTGCATGTCAATTACACTAATTTCATAACAAAAATGGAAATGCCAGCATCACCACAACATCGGCTATAACAAATAAATATCTGGTTCGCACGAGGCTCAAATAATAAAAGGTAGTCTAAAAAGCAAGAACTATTATTGAAGGACAATTGACAACAATGAAAAAAAAATTGCCATGACGTTAAAAACTGAAGATAGATACGTAGTCGCATCCTTCTCTAATTAAATATGAGCCCAGGCCCGCTTTGTTAAATGAACTTCGTACTGTTGCAACTTCGTTTTCTTATGTTTTAGTCTGTTCAGATCGAAATGCAAAATGGAGACCAGTAAGCATTAGCTCCTCTATAAGGGGTTTGAATAACTAGTTTTTGTATCTAGGATGTTTGTCAGAGCCAGACTGGACGTTTTTCATTGCCAATTTTTATCTTCCTGTAACAATGAATATATGACATGACAAACTAATTTATGGTCCTCATGCTGCTTCACTATATGTGATGTCCAGTTGTATCAGTCACTGGTCACGCAACATTTACAACTAAATGTGGTGCTTATTACTTGATACTGCTAAGCATCAAAGTGACATGAAAGAGTAGAGTTAATAATTCTCAATTGCTTGGGCTTAGTAGCAAGCACACGACTGCCTTGTTTTACATGAAACCTGTTCAGTAATATTTAGGAGCATCAATTAAGCAGTCTGTCAACTTGATTATGCAACTGCAGCCGGAGTTCAATATATATTGCAAAATTGGCGATGTTATAGCATGATTAAATGTGCCAAAGCTCGAACAAAATTTCAAAAGAAAAACAGTAACATATATTTATTTGTACAATTAGGTCCCCTTTCCTTCCTATTTCATTTTGCTGAATGAAAGTCATCTCACCAAAATGGTTAACCAAGCTAAACTAGCCTTCATTTGTGCTTGTGCTCACTATGTGAAACCAAAGGGAAAGAATTCATGACACAAATGAAGACCTTTTGCTTCATTTTAAGCTGTGGAATTTTGCATACTGAAAGTGCAAAGCAAATAACAAAGTATGCCCCATTGGAGCGCAACATGTTGGCTGGACCTATTTTAACCACTTGGCATACTTCAGCATGGGTACGTGTATTTCTATGTTACTTGAACATAAGAATGTGGTTGCAACAGCTTGATACTGAACACAGATGCTCAGCAGAAAAATACTGGCACCAGTTAGCCATCAACCAGTCCAGTTTCCAATTTTTTTTTCCCAAATGACAGAACATAGAACTAAATTCATCAACAAGTCTAGTCTGCAGGATTATATCACATGGTGGCTCTATATTGCCCCTGTAACAAATACATAGATGACCACCCAGCATTAAAGCGAGCTTGGTAAGCATGCGGGATCGCATGGAAGAGTGCAGGCAAGTTACCTTGATAAGCTCCTTTGCGCTTGCTTTGCCGATCTTCTTTAGCACCCTGTCGGTCACAAGCAGCGAGTTCTGGTTTTGGAATCCCTCGAGTATGCACACAGCTGTGATGTCTGTGGAAAACAGGAAGGCGAGCTCAAAACCAATGAGCACTGAGATCCCTTAGTAAATATCGTCATTGCACATCCAGGGCAGATGCTTTAAAAATATGCCAAGTCCAGATGTAAGTATGATGCTACTTTGATCATTCCTGTCACTACCAGGCTTTCAATGACTGTTGACATGCCACAATTTTCACGGCAGCGTGCAACAGCAAACGTTCACCTTTACGTTCTTGCCTCAAAACATAAGCATCGGCTAAACTACAATAGTAGGATCAGCTGAGAACGTAATGCGATGAATGGCTGCTCCCTATCTGATTACTCAAAACACTTTCAAAAGTCTCACTTCACTTAGAGCACCGCTTTAGCTCGTTTTTTAACGCGGGCTTACCTTCCAGACACTTGTCCAGCTCATTGACGACCTCGTAAGCCTTCGCTCTCCGGTGAAGTGCCTTGACATACTGAAAGTTCAGGTCTATCGCCTTGGTGCAGTCGGTGATAACGGCCGTGTAGTTTTTCTGCGCAGATCAGCGCAATCGAGTCACAAACGATGAAACGGCGAAATAAAACGGTCTTACCAAGTTCTCGTAGGCGGCCGCACGATTTTGGTAGAAGGTAGCCAACTCATTTTTGTTCTGTGGCGGGCACAGCGCGATCGCCTCCGAGTAGCACTCGATGGCTTTATCGAACTTGCCTTCCTTGAAGTACTTGTTGCCCTGGTTTTTGAAAGCCTTTGCCCTCTCGAACGGGTCCTGCGCGAACAAATGAGACACCGACGACGTTAAACTGGTGGCAAGCAGCGGCGTGAGTCGAGTTGGGTTACGTCTCCGCGTCGAGTTGCCACGCGTGGTGAAAAACACGCGCAAGGAAACATCAGAGCAGAGCACGCCAGATAACTCGAGCGTCCCGCCCATTTTTCAGACCCCAGGTCCACGTCGCTGTTTAAGAGCCAAGACGCCGACACGTGCGGAGTCTGGGCAACGTGCCCGCGGCTGTTTGAGACGCGTTTCGAGAGGTCGGTCGCTCACCTTGGCTTCGGTCGAGCCGCGCGAGTGGTTAGTTTGCGATTTGTCCACTGACTTGGACCCTTTTGTTTCTCCGGCGCTGGCACCGGGCGGCTTCCCCCTGGCGCGAGATTTCTTGTAGTACCAGTAGGCCAAGCCGGCAGCGACTGGCGTGGCGAAGAGAACTGCATATTGCCACTTGGAAAGGCCCGCTTCGGAAGCCGCTTCGCCGCCGGCACTCCTGGCCATTCCGCTGGGAGCCATGTTGATTTGGAATGATCACTTGCCGGGTTGCCAAGCGATGTCTAGACTCGGGCCAAATCTGCCGAAGAGATGCTGACGTGACCGCGACTTGCGAAGAAAGAAAGAAGGAAAAGCTTGGAAACTGTGGCACACCCCCACTCTGGGGGACTGGCCAATAAGCAGGTAGCTTTAACAAAATATTGTTAATTTGTATGCTCAAGCTTTTTAAGCTAATGAGAGGAATCAAGCAAAAAAGTAATTGTGTGAAATAGACAATTAGAGACAAAGGATATAGAAAATAAAGCAGATAATTTCAGAAACAACAGTAAATAAGTGAATGTATAAAGTAATTTAGAAAAAAAAATGAATTTAGAAAGTCTATTCTACCGTTTGAATCTTCTTGAAGCTTTAATAAACTTCTGCAAGGCATCAGTAATTTTCCCGTCACTGAATCCTTGACAAAGCTCCCCAAAAAAGTACATTTGGAGTGTTTAACTCTAATCTTACAAGACGGAAGACGTCATCTAATGTGATTTTGCGCAGTGTGGCGTATCTTTTACAATATATCAGATAATGGTATACGTCTGTTATCTCAGGAACTCCACAAAACCAACAATTAGGGGATGGATGGATGAACGGAAACAACTTTATTTATACGTCCTGTACAGGGTGTAGCCACCTGACTGGCTAATCCCACGTTGGGACTGGGAGGTCAAGCCTCCTAGCCCTGTCATGGGCGTACTGGACAGCCAGGACTTGGGGGATATGGTCGCGAGACGGGTAATTGTCTAAGTGTGACCGCGTGTGCTCTGTTTAGTCTACTGTGAGGGGGTGCAAACTCTCTCCTCCTCCCCAGGTAGTAATGCTTAGTAATTTCATTATATGTCATGGGCGTATCCCGTTGTAGATTTTCGAATCCACCAGAATCAAAGCCATGTAAAAGCATCCCGGTCCGTGAGTTCGCGGGCAATGCTGTTGGCCGATTCATTTGGATTCATGGGAATGTCATCGAGTGATCCAAGGTGCGCTGGGAACCAATATATGTAATGTGTATCAATGGCCTGTTCACTATTATTAATTCGAACTGCTTGTGGTGTGATCCTGCCCCTGCCGAAGGCTCTGATGGCTGGTTTTGAGTCGCTGTATATCTCGGTGTATCGATCATCCGTCAGGGCCAACGCGATATCAACCTGTTCAGCGACTTCCGGTTTGGAAGTGTAAACTGCGGCGCACTTGGTACGACTGCCCTGGTGGTCAACTACTACCGCGGCGAACTTATTTCGGTCTTTATATGAGGCTTAATCGACAAAGCAAGCCCCCCCCCCCCCCCCCTACCTCCTTTATCTAACTTCTTCAATAAAGCCTTAGCCCTGGCTACCTTTGTGGCGACGTTGAAGGTTTGGTGCATATTTCTTGGGAACGGGGCAACGATGATGCTCTCAGCAAAGTCCTGTGGTATGTTGGTGTACGTCTCCTGGTCGATGACAGGGTTAATCATGATTCTATCGAGGATCGATCTTCCCGTACAAGTTGTAGAGAGTCTTGCTATTTGTGACCTTTCTTGAGCCTCTGCAATTACTCTAGTCGTGTTGTGTACCCCTAACTTGAGCAATTTTTGAGTGCTGGTGCGAAGCGGGATACCCAGTGCACTCTTAATGACTTTCTCAATCACCGCGTCGAGCTTCTTTATTTGGGTTTGTGTCCAGTTATACATAGAAGCCGCATATGAAATATGACATAGCACGAAAGGGTTGATCAACCTAATAAGATTGTCCTCTTTCATGCCTTTTTGTCTCCCTGCAAGTCGTCTGATCATCCGGTATGCGTTCTCTGTCTTGAAAATAATTTTCTTGGGCGCCATGTGATTCCTGCCATTTGCATTTATAAAAAAGCCCAGTACCCTCATCATGTCGACTCTGTGTATATTTACCCCGTTTTCGGTCAATATATGTATGTCACTATCGGATAGTGGCTTCCAGCCCTTAGGTCTCCCTTCTTTTTCTTTTCTGTTAAGTAATAACTCCGATTTCTGTGGGGAGCACCTGAGACCAGTGGGCCTCAAGTATTCCTCCACTGTATGCACCGCTTCTGTGATTGCATCTTGTACCTGTCCTTCACTGCCACCAGCCCACCATATAGTAAGGTCATCAGCATAGATGGTGAGGTGAATGTTGCTGATTTGGCTCAGTTTCCTGGACAGGCCGATCATGCACAGGTTGAAGAGGACGGGAGAGATCACCGAGCCTTGAGGGGTTCCACGATCACCGCGTTGAACCACGTCGAGTTGGTGTCTCCCACCCTTAACCTCGCCGTACGTGCCCCTAAGAAATATTTTATGTAATTATACATTTTCGATCCAAGTCCGATTTCCTTTATCGTTTGAAGAATGTATTTGTGCCTAATGTTGTCGAATGCTTTCTCCATATCTAGTCCGAGGATGGCTTTGGTATTTCTAGAGTATCCGTCTAGAATGTCGTGTTTAATCTGCTTCATAGCATCCTGAGTAGATAGTGAGGATCTGAAGCCTAACATATTGTAGGTGTATACGTTGTTGTCCTCCAAGAAATCCTTAAGCCTGTTGAGGATTGCATGCTCGGCAACTTTTCCTACACATGATGTTAGCGATATTGGTCGCAAGTTCTCCAGACTTAGTGGTTTACCCTGTTTCGGTATTAGTATGACTTGAGAAAGTTTCCATTCATCCGGAACTTCACCCGAATTCCATGCTTTGTTAATAAAATCAGTCAGTGATTCAATAGAGGGCTCTTCGAGATTCCTGAGTGACTTATTGGTGATGCCATCTGGGCCAGGGGCAGACTTTCTGTTTAACTCACTTAACACTCTTCTGATTTCAGATAAAGTGAAGGGTCGATCCAGCTCCAGCTGAGGGGCTCCCTGGTATTCCGATCATGGAAATCGTTCTGGCTCCTTAGCGACTGGTAGGTCTTTGTCTATGAGTTGTTTAGTAACTGTTTCAATGCCTTGATTTTTAAGGGCTGTGTGTACGGCCCGGACAAGACAGTGTCTCTGGTTGGACCTGGTGACTTGCTCGTCTATGAGGTGCCCAATAAGTTTCCATGCTTTGCCGTTCCTGATCTGCCCATCAATCGTTTCACAAAATTCATCCCACTGCTGCTTACATAGGTTGGTACAGTGCAGTTCAATTTGTTTATTCAGTTCTGCTATTTTCCTCCTTAGTCTATGATTCAGTCTTTGAGTCCGCCATTTTTTGGTAATTGCCTGCTTTGCTTCCATTAAGTGGGCTAGTTTAGAATCTATGGCCTCCACGTAGCGTCAGTGAGCAGATTTCTGGTGACTGATTTGATATCATTCCTTATGGATTCGCACCACTCTTTGAGGCTTGGTTTGGCAGCATTTGGTACGCTTTGCGTTCTAATTCTGCGAAAGGCATCGCAATAAACAACCTCAAATCCTCGAGTGCAGCCTTTCTCAACCTCCAGCTTAACCTCGAGAACATAATGATCACTGCCAAAGTTATGACCGGTATTTGTCCATATGGGATGCTCTACGTTCTTCACAAAGGTTAGGTCGGGTGTGGTGTCTCTACAGACAGAATTGCCGATTCCTGTGGGATACCCTTTATCCGTAATCAATACCAGGTCTTGCTCGTCAGCATGATGCCATAGATTCCTGCCTTTGGGATTTGTCGCAGTGTATCCCCAGAGTTCATGAGCAGCGTTGAAGTCCCCTAACATGATTAGAGGCCTAGCTTCCGCGAGTTTCGTAGCTTTCTCGAAAATTATCTTGAACTGTTGCTTGTAGTGCTTCAGGTTACTGTAAATGCTGAGGACAAATAAGCTGTTGCATTTTTGATTTTTGTATGAGACCGGCACTAATACCTCCACCATGAGATACTCTAAGTTCTTGTCCCGAATGCCCAGATCGTGGGAGATGTGTGTCAGCTGCCTATTTACAAACACATATAAGCCTCTACCATAGGTTTCGCACTCTATAGCTCTATACCCTGTGAGCGGGGCGTATGCGTACCCAGTTTCTTGGAGTGCTATTAGATCCGGCTTAGATTGTAGTGATCTCAGATATTGCTGGAGTGTGGCACGTTTGTTGTTGTACCCCCCACAATTCCATTGCCCCACTCGAAATTCTCTTTTAATGTGGGCCATACTAGATGTTCGTATCCCCTGCCTGGGGAATCATGGGGGCTGTGTGGAACGATGGTCCACACTGCGCTCTGTCGTTGCCGGACATGCTCATCATTTCAAGAGTTTTCACTTTTTCGCTAAACGCCTTTGGCCCTTCCCTAGGATCATTTAATGTACTCTGCATTTGTCCCACACTCATCGTCAACTGTGAGACGCTGTCCATGATGATTTTCATTTTAACTGCAAATGAGGCTTGTGTTTGTTTCATTTCCTCTATGTGCGTTTCAGTATTCTTCAGCTTACTTTCGACGGCTCTGCGCTTGGCCGACATGACCCCGTCACCCACAGGAGTGGGAACTGGCGTTTCCTTTGGCGTGTTTTTGTTCTCGGCCTGCTTGGCTTCACTTAAAAGTTTTTTAATTGCTGCTAATTCTGCATGCATATTTTTAGATGCCGGAAGCATCTTATACTCGCGCCTTGTAGTGCGCCGTCCGCGCCATCCGCGCCGTCCGCACCGCTTCTCGAACATTCGACAGCTGACGCGCGCGCATGCGCCGTCGCGCCGTCGCCCACTCTTCCACCATCTGTGCATCCCTTCCTCCTCTACACACCGCGCGCGCTTCACTCCTCCACCATCTGTGCACCCTTCCTCCTCTACACACCGCGTTCGACATCTACAATTCTCCCGATTCTCCAGTGGACGCGCATGTGGCGTCGCGCTTCGAGAACATTCAACAGCTGACAGTGCATGCGCCGTCGTGCTGTATATATACTCAAGGTCGGCGCTCGCTCGCTCAGTTGCCGCTCGTCGGTTGGTTTGTACGGCGCGTCGACGTCCAAGGTCGCGGTGGAATGAATTCCAACGAATCCACAAACACAATGATCGACGTCCCTTCGACCAGCGCCGCCCTTTCGCATACGTGTGTACGTGTTCACTCATTTAACAC